AGTCCGTACATATGTATAATCACACTATAGGACTCTCACTGGACTATGGAGAGGGTCTCAACCTGAATAAAATACAACATGCGAAAACGCACCCAAAGGTGGGCATGAGTACCTAGACCTAACAGGATATACCTTAACCTCTCATATCCAGCTACTCATCCCATTGCATATACGCTCCCTAACCGACGACTCTGAGACTCAAGCTCATATCACGGTACTATAAAAATATATTTAAAGTCCGTGCCTAATCCATCCTTAAGAAATCCAGTTAGTCGTTCAGCTTGTTCAGCTGCACAGACTCACATAGATACCAAGAAGTCCAGTTAGTCATTCAGCTTGTGTAGCTTCTTTGACTTAAGTATAAGTAGGATTTATTTTAAAAATCCATTCCCTTATTCCGTATGGGTAGGATGTAGTATTTTGAGACTAATCCAAACCTAGGCATGCCACCGTCCCATACCGGTGCATGTAATCCAACATCCACAGTTGACAACACCAGTAATCAATGTAATTATCAACTATATAGTAAATCCAACAATCGATAGTCAAACATTTAATTGTAAACATCAACTGCTTCACATTAATCATGTTAAAACTTTGTTATTTAACTAGCCTATTAACACTACTCCACACAGTTCCATGATTGATAATACAAATCATATATGTAACATTTAGTTAAATCCAAGTAAGCGTGTCAGATTTTACAAATTTACATGCTGATCCTATAATACTACCCAGTTGTTCAGGAGTGAATAGAACAGTTAGTGTAAGTATACATCATTCATCCATGATAGGCATATAATTCATTCTGTAGTCCTACATTTTTATAGTACACTACAGAAACATGCACAAAACATAACTCCATTCCCAAATAAACTGCTACACCTAAAGTTGTGCAATTTAAATCCTCAATCTCCAAGACAGTTTACTAATTTTCTTTAAAAATTATGTATAATCCCACAACAACCATTACTTGCTTTATTATGAATTGTCAAGCCCTCTGTAGATTTAATTTGATCATAGAACTCACCCAAAACTCCCAATCACAGCTCCTAAACACAATCGTCGCATCAGAAACCAGTCCGGAATCAACACAGAGGGTCAAAAACGCAACAAAGGAAGAAAGAGACGCCTCCCCACAAGGGGAGCCGCCTCCCATTTGGGTGGAGCCGACTCCACACTATGTGGAGCCGCCTCCACCCTTGATGGAGCCGGCTCCCCCTTGTGGGGAGCAGCCTCTTTGGTCCTCTGCTCCTAATCTGCTCGTCTTCTTCAATTGTGACCTCTCCGGCAACGTTTAGTGCATCTGTCCTAAATTCTAAAGCCACTACTAGTTAAAATTATATCCTAGTGTGATCCAGAAATATTTTAATGCCTTAGTCACTCCCCGACAACAATCGGAACAAGATCTATGCAACAAGAAATTTGAACAAACAGTTTACCCTTCAAGAACACACACTGTTCTGAGTAACTCAACCATGTGAACCAGAGTATTATTAATGTTTCTCTGAGTGTTAAAAACTAATTTAACTCTTGATATAACAGTTTACATGAATTAGGCATCTAGTTATGTGAATTAATTTATGAGTCACATACAAAAGATCACAAACAAACAGTGCAACCCATGCTACGTTCAGTTTAAACAAAATAACAGAGACATGCAAACCAATTTACTTTTAATCTTTATAGATTCCTGGAGTTGTATTAGTGATGCAAAGAACACGAGCCTAAGGAAAAGAGTTAGGATTAGAACTTGCTTTACACCGACGTCGTTCTAAATTCCCCGGTGAACTCTCTGTTTCTTCCCTCTCTGTTGCTTCCCAGACTTCTCCAAAATTACTTCTGCCTTTACTATATCGTGAATATAATCTTAAACCCTAGGCAAAGCATTACTGGTATATTTATAGGTCACCAATCCTAGGTTCCATTAAACCCTAACTGATTTACCCGGCCCATAGAATATAAACCTACGTTTTAATCATCGCCGGCTACTTATGTAAATTGTAAACCTAATGTAACTATATGAGTGCAACAATAAAACAGAATCACGTTAAAATAATTAAAACATTTAAGTTCAATTAAAACAATGAGTCACGTAATGAAAATTTAATGCACAATTAAACAGTTAACTAAATCTTAAAAACCAATTAAACATTTAAAAGAATTCAAATACAAAAATACAATTAACTAAAAAATTAAATAAATTAAAACGCCATAATTAAGACAAGTCACAATTTAAATTATTAAAAATACAATTAAATAATTAACTAAAATACCAGGATTATCCTTTTTAAAATTAGGGGTATTACACAGAGGTGGGCCGAAGACTAGCCACCGGAACTATTCGATGTAATTTTGGATTTCACTACTAAAAAGTTCACGGGTATGTTGAAGCTCGATGAAACTGTTTCGAGATTTTCTCTCGTCGACTTCAATGGAAGTTTTAAGTGACATACACTTTGGGATTTTATTTTTTTATTTTTATTATTATTTTTTTTTTAAGAAATTGGGTTTTGGATACCCTTTTAGTCATTTCACATAATTTTATTTTTTTAAATATTTTATAAAATATGTAACTATGGGCATTTTAGTCCAATTTTATCATAAATGGGTAAGGAGGACCTATTTGCAAAAATATCATAATTTAGTAGTGTTTTTTGCACGTAAGGGGTACAATATGCACTGTAAGCATATTTCAGGGTTGTTTTCTACACTTCACCCCCGAGTAATAAGTATTGATTATTTATAATTAAGTGTTTTTTAATTTCTTTGATAATAATATTCTTTAAAGCACGAGTGCTAATTTTACAATAATATTCTTTAATAAAAGGTTACTATACTTGATAATAGTAATTTAAAAAAAAAAAAAGAAAAAAAAAAAGGGACAAAGTTGTTTAATAAAAATAATTACTATTCAGAAGTTTAAAAGCTCTAAATTTTTATTATTATTTTTTTTTTATGAAAAGTTAAGCAAACTTACACACCCATAAATTCACTTGGTAATTATAAGATTAGATAACCTCGATCAAAATTTTAGTTTCATGAAAAACTGAGTTAAAATTGATAACTATAAAAAGTGTTTCAATCTAAACATAAATTTTAAAAATCAAAACACTTGAGAAACATTGAAAAGCAAGCAATCCAAATGGCATCTTACTTTCCATTAAATGCTTGAAAATCCGGTCTGCGCTATGTTCTGGGGCACAATAAAGATGACGACTTCGTTTTTATTTTTTTAAAAACAAATTCATCATTTGAAGACTATTTATTACACGGTGATAATAAGATTGCTTATTGACAATAATATAATAATAATCAGATTGCTTGTCATCCTCCAAATAATAAAAGGTCCAATACAACCAAAAAAAATTGCTCAATCCACCTTCTCCCTAACCCAACTGATTTTATCAACCAAAGTAATTTTAGAATAACGAGAACAGTTAGTATTAAAATTTTACCAGCGGACAAAAAGGAGGTGATGGGTTTAAGTGAATTATTTTACGTTCTAATTATATATATATATATTAAAATTTTACTAGTAAAAGTTCACCAAAAATGTAAGGGTAAATTACACTTACTTTTTTTGAGATTTGGACAAATCTCACGTGGGTGAAGTATTTGAGGTTTATTTTGACATTCCTTGAGATTATAAAAAGTCAATTATACTCTTATATGTAATATATTTTTATAATACAAAATATATTATAAAATCTAAAAAAGTTACCACTTCTAATATATAACTATCACTCACATTACAAAAGTTTGCTCTGTTTTTTAAACATTATTTTATACATCTTTTAAAAGTAATGGTGGTGGCGGTGGATGTGGTGGAAAGTGTCAATGGTGCAAGTGATAATGGTGGAAGGCAGTGGTGTGGTGGTGGTGTAAGGCAGCAGTGGTGTGGATGGTGGTTGTGAAAGGTGGTGGTGGTGGAAGGTAGTGGAGGTGACGGTGGTGAAAGGCAATGCAAGAAGAAGGTGACGATAGTGGTAGAGATGGTGGTAATGATGGAAGGTAGTGAGGCGGCGACAATGGTGGTGATGATAGTGACGGTGATAGCAGTGGTAGAAAGTGGCAATAGTGGTAACGGCAATGATGAGGTGGTTGAAGGCAATGGAGGTGGCAGCGGTGGTGGCGACGGTTGTAGTGGAAGGCAGTGGAAGCGGCGACGGTGTGGTGATTGAAGGCAGCAACAATGGTAGCGATGGCAGGTGGTGTAAGTCGATGAAGGTGGCGATAATAGTAGTGTAAGATGGTGGTAGTTTTTGAACTTGAAATATGAAGATTTTTTGGAAACTTGATTTTTAAAATGAAATACTTAAGAATGAAATTGTCATTCGTGTCGAATGGATTTTCATTATAATGGAATGACCATTCTTATTTTTTACTTTATATTATATACCAAAACAAAAGAATTTGGAATGTGCATTTCATTCCATTCGTGCTTCATGCACACCAAACTCACTAAAATATAAATCAGCTAAAAAAAAAAGGTTAATTAATATGTTTTAATAGCATTTCATTTTGAAAGAGCATATTGCATAGGAAAAAAAAAAAAAAAAATTTTGAACATATCATGTTTGACCATTCCATAATACATCTAATTTCACTAATTCAAAATTTAAAATTTCAATTCTACGCGGGAAGATAAATCCAAGGTTTATATCCTTTTTAACATTTCAAGTTGAATTTTGGTTAATTGAGTTTGGGTGATCCGTCCGCATTCAACCCACCCAACCCACTTAGTAGGTATGGGTCACAAAATGAAGACTAGGATCTAATGCTAACCCGATTAGCCCAACAACAGTAGGAGGCAGCTGAAAAGCTGACCGTCATTGCCATAAGACATAAATGTTAATTAATGAATTACTAATGAACCCAATTAAAGTCTTACTCTGTTCCCCTAATGATGAGCCACCACATTCCAAATTCATACGAACGTTTCGTTCTCATATCAACCTCACTAGAAGCACGGAGCCCGCCAATTATACATAGAACCGATGGCGAGCAGTTCCCGCTGGCAAATCGACGAGAGTACACGCCAGTCGAGTTTTCCGGCGATCGGGCCACAGTTTTTCAAAATAATACACAATGGCATCGCTCATGATCCAAAGTTGGTAAGCATATATTGGATCTCCCTCTATGTTGTAGACTATATTTGTACAAAAATGGACATATATCTGTATATATGTATTTCTGTAATTAGTTTGGGCGTGTAATGTTAACACCACATGATACAAAAGGTTGGAATTAATTAGTGCAAATGGGTTTATATTCTTAATTTTTAACATTTATTTTGGGTTTCATAACAAACTCACTCAAGATTAAACTCGGCATAACATAACAATTAACTGATTCAATGTGTTCTGCAATATTAATCCAGTTCAGGGTTTAATTTGTAGTTTTAAACACTGTGTCGCAATTTTTTCTGCTGCTGGATACTCATAAAGAGAGTCCTGTTCATAATTTTGATAATTAATTTACTCTTTCAAAATCTGATTAGCCAGTTGTAAAACTTTAAGATAGTTAATTAGAAGTTTTCAGGTTAACTAGTTCAAAAAGAAACAAAAAATCACACTTCTGATTATAACCCAATTTTATACCACACATATAAATCTGTTTTCGACTACCTAGGGATGTTATCAAGTTGAGTCGAGCTCAGTAGTGGGTTGAATTTGTTCAAAATATAGTGAGCTCTGAAAATGACCCATGATTTTGTCCTACTTATTTTCAAGCCAATCTTTTGCCAAGTTTGAGTAGTTTGGTTTTTATATGTAGTTATCTTTGATCGTCCTTAGATTATCGAGTTGAATTTGAGCTTACGCTACTTAATTTAACAAGTTTGAAAAACCAATCAACCTTCTAAACAAATAATGGTAAGCTAAGGAATAAACAAATGTAGTTTGAAATGATGTTCTTGGTAACAGCACTAACTGAAGCTCTTTAATTTGATGGTACAATGATGGGTAATCCTTAATCTTTCTAATCTGCCAATTATGTTCAAATTTAATTTGAGGGTTCGTCGCAGAAAATTCCAAGAGAGTTCGCAAAGAAGTATGGAAAACATCTGTCAAGCTTTGTGTTCCTCAAGGTTCCTACTGGTGCAGTATGGAAAGTTGAATTGGTAGATTCCGACGGCGATATTTGGCTACAGAATGGTTGGCAAGAATTCAAAGAGTATTATTCTATACGATATGGACACTTACTGGTATTTAGGTTTGATGGAAATTCTCGTTTTCATGTTCTCATATTTGATATGAGTGCCACCGAGATAGAATACGCAGTTGGTGCAGATTCTATTGAGGTAGATGATTCTGTCGAAATCTTGGATGATTTTCCAACATGCCAAACAAGGGAGAAAAAGAAGGATGTTTCTCCTAAATTTGTTGATGATTTTCCAACACTGCGGACAAGCAATACTATGCCAACTCGTGAAATGATCACCATTGGTACATGTAAAACAGAGAATGCTACCAATTGGGAGGCTTCGTCTCTGGATTTTCAATCTAGAGGCATTCAAACTAATGGCATGAAGCTTGCCAATTCGAATGCAAATGGGGATTCCATCTTTTTGACAAGAAAAATTAAGAGTACGAAATTTACTTCTAATGTTGTTATATATATATATATATATTGGGTTAATTACATGCCAACTTGTATATATATATATTGGGTTAATTACATGCTATAACTTAAAATTTTATCTTGATTTTCCTGCAGAAGAATGCACTGGGGACACGGTCGCCAAAACAAGACACATGCATACCAAGGTTCCTGAAAGAAGGCAATCAATTACTGTTGACGAAAAATTTAGAGCCCTTCAAAGAGCCAAAGCTTATAAATCTGACGATCCTTTTATTGTGAAGTTTATGCAACCATCTTATGTAGACCAAAATAGTCTGGTAAGCTATGTTATCTATGATAAATACATTAGAAGAGACCATTATGAGATTTTGAACCTCCTAATTTCTTTTTTCAATTGAACCTTTTCAAAGTAAATGTATATTTTAAAACTTTTGCAGACTATACCATTAGTCTTTGCCAGGCAATATTTCTCTGATAAGCAGAACATCATACTTCGTGTTTCCGATGGGAGAACATGGTCGGTTAAGTGCAGTTTTGGATCATTAAATGCAAAATTCAGTAGTGGTTGGGGATCATTCGTGCAGGACAACAATCTAAAGGTAGGTGATGTTTGTGTCTTTCAGATGATTAAGGGCATTGAACCTTCGCTGGAAGTCATCATATTTTGAGCAGTCCAATGTGCAAACTGTCGCCTGCTCCTGCAGGATTTTGGATTTTGTTATGTACTGGCTTAGAAGTCCATTTCGCGTTCATGAGATTGAGGAAGACGGCAACATCTTCCTTAACTGTCCTCTCTTCCTCTCTCTGAAGTTGATCGATGACTTTATTTTGGTCTGTTTCTGCTAGTGTGTTTGATCCATCCATAGCTGTTTGTTGTTTCAACTCTTTTGCAATGAACTGAGTTTATTCAATCTATAGTTAATATAATGATTAACCTGTTATTACATTGGTGCCAATTTTTGTCCATGGTATAGTTTTCCATCCTCCACAAGTTGTGCATATTATGTGAATTTAAAAGACTTTTGGAAATAGGTTTGTCTTATGTGTTGCTTACTTTAAATTACCTAAAACCACTGCATCAACGCCTAATGACACTCACTTGGTTAAATTACGCTGAACTCCTTGAAGTTTGGGTATATCTCATATAAGTCGAGTGTTTCATATTTATTGCTTTGACTTCCGTTGAGGTTCGGATGTATGCTTAACAACACCCCTTCTCATCAAAACTTATAAAAAAATTTCATAAAATGATGAAGTTACCCTTACACTTATTATTATTATTTTTTATTTACAATTTATTTTAGAAGTGGTAACAGTGGAGAAAAGAGAGAAAGTAATAATATATAACTATCGGGGTGGCAATTTGTGTTTGCGTGTCGTGTTCGTGTCGACACGATTACAACACTGACACGATTAGGGTTAACACGAACACGACACGATTATTAACCGTGTCTAAAACTCTTGACACGAATACGACACGATTATTATACGTGTAACACGACACCCATAACCTATTTAATAAATGGGTCAAGACTTGACACGACACGAAAAGACACGTTTAAGTCATTTTTGACACGAATATGACATATTTATTCTATACGTTTTGCTAAATGGGTCATTTTTTACACGAACACGACACGTTTAGTTAATCGTGTCATAATCGTGTTTACAGGGTCAAATACGAACACGACACGTTTAGTTAGCGGGTCAATTCGTGTCGACATGATTATGACACGAACACGATTAGCCCAAATCCAAACCTGTTTATCTCGTGTCGTGTCAAATATTATCACCCCTAACTATCACTCACATTACAAACATTTGATCTGTTTTTACTCACATCCCCAAAGTTAGTTGACAAATGTGTCAGACCACTTTTTATTTGTAGAAAGACATTCTTACCCTTTGACTTTGATTTGACCCACTAAATTATTTCTTTAATTGTTCAAATGACATGTTTATCCTTATTTGACTTAAATTTGACTAACTAAATTATTTTCTTTAAGAATTCAAAAGTCTTAAATTTTTGTAAATTTACAAATTATATCATATATGCAGACGGTATATACTCCTAACACACAGACATATATATATATATATAGAAATATATATTATATTATACACACAATCACAACAACACCACCAACACCGGCGAGGATGTCGGCACGAGGACAGCGGCGGCGACACCCTAATCGTGGTGGCTGAGCACCAAACCACCCTCTCCGACCTCACCAACCGTCTCTCCAAAACCCTTCTCAGCGGCCAATCCGGGGTACGGTCCACCACTTGCTGGCCAGCCACCTGTGGTTATAATGAACTGGTGGTCCCCACTTCTTTTTTTTTTTTTAAAGAAGACTGGCGATGGCAAATCGACGGCGGCGACGAGAAATATTCAACGGTGATGACGCAACGAAGAAAAGAAGAACTCAATTGCTATCTTGCTAGGAGTTACGACAATCGATAGGCTATCCATACCGAATCCGTCCATTTCCGGCGGTGGCTGGGGAACCTTCAAGGACTACGTATATCTTCATATATGTAGAAAGATTGATCAATCATACAATTTCAAAAGGCCCCAATAATTACTCTTGACACAAATCATTGAAGAAGATGGGTTGGGGTTGGGGTTGGAATTGGGATTGGGGAGATGATTTTGGGGTTGATTTGTGTTGGCGATGCTTGATTTGCATGATTTTGGGGATGATTTGTATTGGAGAAATTGCAGCGACACCGCGAAGGAGGCTCGCTTCACCTTTTGGGTTTGACTGAAACTTTCTTGCCAGCTTCTCATTGATGCTTAGAGCTTCCTGGCGGTGTTTATTGAGTTCCGCAGCGGGAGAGGACGCGATATATATATATATTTGTAGTACCCACCATGCTGCCTATAAATCCCACTGTAAAAGGAAGTCTCTGTTGAGAAAGGGAAATAGAATGAGAGAAGAAAGCCTGAGATGTGTGAAATACAATTAACTTTAATAATCTGTAACCATAACCATGTAACAAAAATATAGCTCAAATCCTCTTTTGATGTCATTTGCGTTAACTGCTTTTTTTTGGCCTTTGAGTGCTCTCTCTCCCTATATATGGAGAGAGTATTATACAAGAACCAAAAATATATAATTTAATTTATTCCAGGTGGGGTTGTCGTCGCCGTCTCTGTCGATGATGGTCTTGTGCTTGGTGCTATGGTCGCCGGCGATCGAAACAACCGACGTACACGTCCATCTTGGGAGCCAAACAAAAAGTGGTTCCAGAAAGTGTAATTAGTCAATAATTAGCGGTATAATATTTTGGAATTAATATAATTAATTAAAAAATTAGGGACAAAGTTTGATTTTTTTTTTTTTTTTTTTAATAAATACTGTGATGGAAAAGTTGAAAATGAATTTAAGTAATAGTTATTTTGAAAATAAGTTTGAGATTAATATTTGTCTAAATTTAAGAGGTGTGTCTAAAATTAACCTTCTTTTTTTAAATTATGTTTGAATAAATTTTATTATAAAAATCACAATGCATTTAAGTTCTATGATAGTCGAGGTAAAAAAATAATTATCTCCCACTCATATACTTTTTCTGTTCTAAAAACGAGTGTCCGAAACTGTAACGGACCAACTATGTCATTTCATTTAGAAAAAATAAAATAAAATAAATAAATATAGCGTCTGAGGGTTTATTGGTTGTATTGCGGTTATCTCTGCTGTTTGGGATGCACTGGACTTTAGGACGTATTGTCTTCCAAGTTCTAAAACCCTTTGAATTGAACCGAGACGAGGTCATGCGCCACCTTCATACTGCCCTCCGCCGCCACTGCCGGCATCTTCGCCACCCATCCACCGCCATTCTAGTCCTCCGCTCCGCCCACTACAAACACCAACCTCCGCCGGCCCCGCCGACTCCTCCAAAACCACCACAAAAGCCGTCGACCTTCACACTCCACGACCAGACCTGGGAAGATCCCTACAGTTGGATGTCAAGCCTCAATGACAAAGTCGCCATGCGCCACATGGACGTCTACATGGAACAAGAAGAGAAGTACACCGAGGCCGTCATGTCCGACACCGATCGCATCCAATCCAAACTCCAGTCCGAGATGGCCTCTCGCATCGCCTCCGACCTCTCCACCCCTCCCATCCGTTGGGGTCCATGGTACCTCATTCACATTTCTCTCTAACTATAATCACACCTGTATGCAATTTCAATAAATGATCTTGATTTTGGAACGAAATAATTGTTTAATTTTTGAAATTAAAAGCAAGAAAAAAGTAATTCTATAGTTGTGCCAATGTCATAGCATCTTTAGTTGTGAATTTCTCAGTTTTGATCTTAGTTATTGTTGTACTATACTATTTCAAGGTGGATGTTCGTCGCCGCAGGTTGTACTATCGCCGGGTGGAAGAGGGGAAGCAGTATTCGGTGCTATGCCGGAGATTGGCGAGCTTGAATGAAGAGTTTATTTCACATAAATCTCCATCTTCCGGATTCGATTTTACTTCGGGGAAGAGAATTGAGCAGAAGCTGCTTGATTACAATCAAGAAGCTGAAAGATTTGGAGGTAAAGGTGTTTTTCCTGTTTGATATATAGTTTAGTCGAATTTGATTTCGGAGATGTTTGATGTTTTTGTTAAATTTTAGGTTATGCTTATGAGGAACAATCTGAGGTCTCTCCCGATCACCGGTTTCTTGCATATACTATGTACGATAAGGACAACGATTACTTTAAATTATCTGTTAGGGACTTGAATTTTGGTTCCTTGTGCAGTAAGCCACAAGCTGATCGGGTTTCTAATTTGGCTTGGGCAAAGGGTGGACAGGCATTGCTTTATGTTGTCACTGATCACAATAAGAGGCCTTTTAGGTTGGTTAAATGTTGATTTTTTCTTTATTTCTTTAACCCTATTTGATTTGAAGAAATGAAGTTGATTCTTCGTTTGTTTTGTAGGATATATTGTAGTATGATTGGGTCAAATGAAGATGGTGTTTTGCTTTTAGAGGAGCCTAAAGAAAATGTTCATGTAAACATAAGACACACTAAGGATTTTCGGTTTGTGACTGTGAATATCTTCTCCACTACATCTTCGAAGGTATTGATTTTGAAACACTTTGTAAATCAAGGTTGCGTGGTTCTTTTCATATTTTGTTGATGAACCAAATTTTCTACATGTGATCTTTTCCTAGGTGTTTCTGATAAATGCAGCTGATCCTTTGGGTGGCATGACATTAGTATGGGAGTGTGAGGGTCAAGCTCATTGCATAATTGAGCATCATCAAGGGTATCTATACCTCTTTACAGACGCAAATAGGGAGGGTCAACCAGTTGATTATCATTATCTCCTCCGTAGCTCTGTAGAAGCTTCTTCTGGTCCAAGAAATTGGGAGGTTATTTGCTTACTAGTGATCTCAATTCATCACTAATATTCACGTTATTTATTTATTTATTTATTATTTTTTAAAATTTTTATTATTATTTTTTACTTTAAACACTTGCAGCACATGTCTAATTTGTTTCTTTCAAACTCAATATTTGTGGCTATTTCCTTCCAGTCTTTACCTTTCTATTCTTAAATTGTTTCTTTTTCCCCTCTGCTTTTATTGATATTCCCTTGTGAATTTCTAATATAATCCAGGGAGCATGCTGTTTCCAATTAATTTTCTTGCTTCTCCTTTTACTGTTTCACAATTATTGCTTTATAATCCCACATCTTCTATTGTCTACTGCAGAGTGTATTTATTGATGACCAAGATTTGATTATTGAGGATGTAGATTTCAGTGACAAACACTTGGTACTTATTGTGAGGGAAGGTCAAAAGTTTAGACTTTGTTCAGTTGCTATGCCTCTACCTAGTGGGAAGGTAATACAATCTTTTATCGTGTATTCATTTATAATTGTGCCAATGAATATGAGAATAACACAACTCCCTAATTTATATTACAAAAATTTACACTGTCTGCAAGCTCAAAAACTGTACTCTAAATGGTGCTTTTTGTAATTAATACGTTTCTTATGTGTTTTTATGTTTCTGCAATTCCTTTATTTGATCAGGATATTACTGATGGCAGGTTATACGAACATTTAAGTAAACAATAATTGTTCAAATCAGTTTCACCTTGAACCAAGTTGCTGTTGTTGCTTAAGACATGGAATAGTTTTGGATCCATAATATCACAACACAATGCTAAATCATAAATTTAACTAGAAAGTATTACTTGATAATGCACCCTAGCACTTGTAGTGCAGTAATATCCACGGATGTGCTCTTTCTCTTTTATAACATGACATTATTTATTCTTGCTTATGGTAACTATGTTGGTACGATGTCTAATTTTGTACATTTTTTTTATGTGATAATTTTAAAGAGCTTTAACGGGTGAGAACCATGTAAATATATTCAGAACGGACCTCCTATTAAGCATTTTCTCCTTGTTAGGGAGCTCATAAGGGTATAGAACTGTTGTTTGGCCTCCCATTTTTTAAAAAGAAGCAAAAATGGCGTTGGCATTACTAGTTCTCTAACTTGGCTAACTTGTAGTGATGACCTTGCCTTTAACTTTGCGTGGAGTATCCCTTGCACTGGAGGCAATGCCCAAAGTTAATGTCCATATTCATATATTGACCTAGCTTAAGCTATAAAGAAATTCCATCTAATTTGTGCATTGGAAGTGAAACAACACCATAAGCCCTGGCAAAGGCGCAAGAAATGGCCTTTTTGATTCCTGATAACTACCCTAGGGAATTTATTTATTTACAAAAAAGAATGAAAATTATTCCAGGCAATGCCCTAGTCCTAGCGTACTAAATATCTTTTATTCAATAAATAGATATAATAACTTGTCAGAGAAAGACTAGTAAATAGTGTAATATTCAATGTTCACAGTCAGAGGGAACACAGTCCCTGTACATGCAGGTTATGTAAGAGAGAATAAACTAAGAGATCTCCAAAAAACACAGATCTCCTAAATAATCAAGAAAGGAGGAAATAGGTTCAGTAAACCTTACTGAAAATTCAAAATTCAAGCGTTTTAACAATAATGTTTTTTCATGAATAAATCCCGAGTATATAGCTTCTCTTGGAGGGCAGACTATGCTTTGAAAGAGTGTTGAGAGATGGCTTACTTGAACCATGCAAGGCGGTGCTACTGAACAGGTGAGGAAGAATCTGCCAGGGTTTTATTTTGCAAAGTGAACTTGCCTTGCTATTAGGTCTCTAAAATATTTGGGGCTTTCTGAACTTTAGTCTGGTGAGGCACTTCCTAAAGCATGTTCAGTGTTAAAATATTTGTTTTTTCAGTTCTAACATTTTTTTTCTTCCTTTTTTACGAGAAAACTATGTTCCTTAATTCATTGTATTGCATGTCTTAGTGTGATTCACATTCACTCATCATGCCTACCTGGAAAAATTCTTTTGTTTTATTTTTTCTGAATGGAATAGATAATATGAATATGTTCAAAGCAAAATGGATATGTTATAAAATGTTTGGCTAATGGATCTAGAATGGGAACAATGTTGGTAACATCTAATAGACATAAGGAGCTGCAGGGAGAACGATGGCAAACATGTTGAACCTGTGAATTGATATATAGCAGTTATGCAAATTTTGAATTTCAACCTTGTACAACTGTAGTTCAATGTTCATACTCAAAGTTTTAAACAAATTTCTGTAAACGTTGGTTAAGTTGAACCTGCCTGGTTGTGTGCAAAAGGGATCGCAGTTGGTAATTTGGAAACATCGTTTGAATAAATGAACATTCATGTCAGGATCCAATGGTTAATAGAACAGCCATATAATGACTTCCATTTGCTGTTAAAACTGTTTCCTTGACTTTCTTCTCCCATTATCCACTTATCTCCTGTTTATTATGACCTCCCCATTTCTCGCATTAATGAAAATTTGACATGGGGGATCTTTATGGCTTTATTTCTTTGTTTTGTGTCTGGAAGACCTGTTCTATTCTGGTTGCTGTAGTGGACAGGATTGATTAATTGCAACATTTTTTATACTCTTCAGTGCCAATGTACTAAATTTAGGGAATGAGTAGTAAAATTATACTGCGGCATCTTTCTCAGTTTCGTTAACCGAAGTCATGCATATATACTTAAAAAATGCTAGTTTTGTCAAATGATACTGTATCATATTTGGGGGACAGTCAGATTTTTATATGCAGTTGTTTTATGATTCTAATCGATTTGAATCCTCTTAATCTCTCTCTCTCTCTCTCTCTCTCTCTCTCTCTTTTTTCCCTACTGTGACAGGGAGCAGTTTATCTCAAAGGGCTTAGTCCCCATTTTTTACCACTTCCAAATGACGTATCTCAAATTTCACCTGGACCAAATTATGACTACTATTCTTCAATTATGCGCTTTACGATATCGTCGCCAGTGGTATGTGAATCATAAAACTCTTCTTATTGAAGATTATGTCATATGAATGCTTTCTAATCATTAAATGATGGTTTCTTTTATAATGCACAACAACTTCTTCTTCTTCTTGCCAAGTGTGACATGGGGCAATCATGTGTTCCAGTGGACATATGATATCTCTCTTTAAGATCAGCCAAGATGTAGACCTGCTGTGGGTGATACGTAATGGCAACACCTCTATTTCAGCAACGAAACCATGAGACCCTCAGGATGGATCATGATACAAGTTAGAGGGCACCCATTGGTGCTCATTACGCTTGAGAACCTCCCTGGGTTCTGCTCTATGCATTAGGTGTGTCAGGATGTATGCGCGTGAAGGTGGCTTTGGTGTGGGTCAAGGTGAACTATTATTATTCTATGTTGTTTATCACCTCAATCTTATGGCCTTCACAGGAAACCCATATATTTGCTTCGCCTACAATATTCACCATGATCCATTCAGATGCTTACCTTGCTTTAACTCTTCCTTACCTACACTTGCTTCTGAAACCTCCTTGGCGCTTTATCCCTAGTATCCAATGGGAATTCTCCATATACCCTCCAGAAGGTGGCATCACCGTCATTGGAACCCATTCCTCCAGAACAAACTCCTCCCCCTCACTTCATTAGTCAAGGCCAGATCACGCCCTAAACTATAGTAGAGCCCCACTATGAGTAGTCATCTATATCCCTCATTGGAGGGCTCAGACCTACTGACAATTCCCCACCTTGTACAAAAATTCTGTCTTTCTGCTCTGACCTAGCAAAGAGCTGATCTCATAAGCAAGAAGAATTCCAAAGCCTTAATTTCAGTTCCCCACTATCATTCAGAGGTAATCTTCCATTCTTCCTTTCATGGTTCCTGTAGGCCCACCTGCTGACTTAGTTCCAGCTTCACAATCTTGATTTAAAACTGTGGATTTGATTTGTATTAAAAAAGAAAAAAAAAATGTGGCTATAAGCCTATAATCGTAAGTTGCAGTATGATAACATTGTTTAATTAATAGCTTGTGTGGTGGTGTAATTTTATGTTGGAATATATGATTTCTTAGATTCCTAAAGTGATGGACGTATTAGTACTTTTGAATGTGTTGCTCTAGCCAATCACAGTTTTCTGGTTTCTTCCTTTTCTTCTTTAGTGGTTGGTAATGTTTCTTCCTTTGCAGATGCCTAATGCTGTGGTTGATTATGACTTGTTAAGCGACAAGTGGAACATCATTCAACAGCAAAATATGCTTCATGAAAGAACACGGATTTTGTATGGAACATCATCTTCTGCTGGCAGTACTGAAAAATCATTGATCTCCAAAAGTTTAGGCTCTGTAAACGAATTAAACTTTGAAGATGATCGCTTGTGGAATGACCTCTCTGAGTTTTATGCTTGTGAACATTTTGATGTCTCTTCTTATGATGGGGTAGTGGTTCCTCTGACTATTGTATATTCACGCAAAAGGAAGGAGGCTCAAGGTCCTGGGTTACTTCACGGTCATGGAGCTTATGGTGAAATACTTGACAAATGCTGGCGTAGTGAGCTAAAAAGTCTTCTTGATCGTGGTTGGATTGTTGCATATGCTGATGTTCGGTACGTTCTGCATCAATTACCAATTCAAGGTTCACGTATACTGGAAATCGTTTAATTTGAAATATAGTTATTCTGAAAACACTGCTTTCTCTTAGTACTGTTGCTAGTTCATATATATTTAGTGATGTCAGTGGGTGAGTTTGGGATGGGGCACCCCTTCCCAAATTTGCTCTGGGACAAGAAAAATATTTTCGCCTTATCCCAAACCAAAGGGCCAAGGGAAGGGGAGGCAGGGTGTGGTGCAATGAGTGAGATTTAAGTATAATAATGACATGACACATAAAAAGTGGTAGAGAATACATACAATTTACAATTTCAAGCATGGAATCTCCTAACTCCATCCACTTTTCCTAGGGATGTGATGAACTCATTGGGACCCTCCTTTTAGGGTTGTCTCTGATTTAACTGCCTGATTATTCCCTGACGCCACAAATACAATGTTTTAACTGTAATCAAAGTCAAATGATGTGTAAACACCTAAATGTTTTGTTTAAATGAAATGCTTACTTTACCAGAGAATGTCACACTTTTTATTGGGGAACAAGAGGCTAATGCTTTCACTTTTAAGTAGGGCTACAAATGAACTAAGATGTTAATAAACAACTCGAGCTTGACTGAAGCTCAACTTCAGTCAAACGAGCCAATCTCGAGCTCCATTTATAAGCTCGTTTAATAAAGAAGCTGATCTCGAATAATATTGGGTTCAGCTCGTATAGGCTCATGAACATGAGTTCGTGTATGCTCGTTTATGTTCGTGTAGACTCGTTTCTATAAAATTGTATAAGCATGCCCGTGGCCCGTGGTTCCTCTTGAATTTTCAAGGCATATCTGATGAGACTATATTTTATATTAAGTGCAAGTTTCATGAAAGGGAATGTTTAGATACGATAAGTAAACTAATTGGAAATGTTCATTGGTAACTTTATAAACATGAGCTCAAATGGAACTTGAACCGAGTCTAATCATGAACATGACATTGAATTTGGCTTGTTTTTTGAAACAAGCAGAGCCCAAGCTTTTCAAAATTTATAATGAGTCAAGCTTGAGCTCAACCTTTAGAGCTCGTTATGATTTCGAGTTAAGCCTTAGAGGACACAATCAAACGACCTGAGCCCGAACAGTCTAAAGCTCGGCTCAATTCACTTGCAGCCCTCCTTTAAGCCTTGTTGGACTAAAGCTTTTATGATATTGCAATAACCTTTTTTTTTTTTTTTTTTTTGGGGGGGGGGGGGGGGGGGGGGTGTTTGTTAAGGCGAATTTATTCAGTTTCCGAACATGTTCTGAACTCATGTTGGGTTCTTACTCTGTTCTCTTACCCAACCTTAACTGACTTGGAGGCTCTCATATCCCTTCCAATAAGGGAGAGTTGTGTAGGGCAGGCTGATTTGTTTTGGGTTAACTTGGTATTCCCATCTCTGTTAAGGATTTCCTATAAAGATTTGGTTCTGAACTTATGTTGGATATTGATAAATAATCTGTTCTCAGAGGCGGAGGTGGTCGGGGTAAAAGGTGGCATCATGACGGCAGAAGCACGAAAAAGCATAATTCTATCAATGATTATATCTCCTGTGCCAAATTCCTTGTGGAGAAAGAGATTGTGCAAGAAAATAAGCTTGCTGGTTGGGGATATAGTGCTGGAGGACTTTTGGTAGCTTCAGCCATCAATTCTTGTCCAGATTTATTTTGCGCTGCAGTCTTGAAGGTATAAATGCAACTCTGTACTGGATTATTTTGGTTTCTTTATTTTGTTATGATGCCCAGGTTTTTATCTAATTCATTGGTTTTACATGGATCTTTTATGCTTTTTGAATTTAAAGAACAGATTATTTAGAACCAAGGGCTTAGCCAAGTGGCATCTCCTCCTTCCAAATGGAAGGTTAAGGGTTTGAGTTCCCTCCCCCCCATAACACACACACACTCTCACACAAAATAAATAAAAAAAATAAAGAAAGAAAAAAAAAAAACTTTATTTAGTCTCCCACTAATTCTTAGTTGGGTAAAGTGCAAAAAAATCCTGTTATATATAGAATGTGGAAATACCCCCTGGTGTTAAAAAAAGCCCCCTACATTTTCGAAATTGAGCAAACAAGGACAATTCTTCAATTTGAAGATTGAAATACCTTAAATGCCCTTAAGACAAATATATATATATATATATATACCGATTTCAAAAATTTGGGATTTTTGGGGTTATTTAAAAAAATCGAAGACTGAAATACTTAAAATGCCCTTAAGGGTATTTTGGGGTTTTTATAAAAAAATAAAAATTGGTCAAAATTGACTATGAATGAGGGGGACATTTGCTACAATATTTCAAATTACAGGGATTATATGCACATAATAAAATAGCAGAGGTGTTTTTTGCACTTCATCCTTTTTATAGTTAAAAGGAACCAATGATATAAAAGTTATGCTTGCTAAAAATGTGGCTTTGAGGATGCATGATAGAATAATTTTCTTATGATTGTAGCTCTTAATTTTTAGTTGAAATGTCTTTTTCTTTTTGCTTCTTTTTAAATAATTTTTTCTTGTTTCTGTTTAGGTTCCATTTTTAGATCCAAGTAACACACTTGTATATCCCATTTTGCCACTTACACCTGTTGACTATGAAGAATTTGGGTACCCGGGAGACGTCAAAGATTTTCAGGCTATTCGGAAATATTGTCCCTATGATAATATTCAGAAGGATGTTCTTTATCCAGCTGTTTTAGTCTCTTCATCGTTCAATACACGGTAATATTTCTACGTTTTTCAGATTTTCTTTTGGTCATTTGTCATTTTAATTGTGAGATAATGAGGAGATGAAGACCAGTAGACCACTGTTGCTAAGAAAAGATTGCAAGTTGAAGGATTACAGAGGTGTGGGCCAAAATATTTATAGGAATTGTTATTATTATACTAGTGATTTTCAGTTGTCAGAGTACTCCCTGCGAAAATATTCAAAAATGTTGTTTAACTAACTGTTTTGCGTCCTTATTTTTCAATACATGGCAAATGTACTATGTTACATATGGAATTAATTTTTTTGGAAAAAGGTAGATGACCAGGTGCTGAGAGAAGTATGTGCGTTGAAAGATGACAAATATGTGAAGGCCAAAAGTATTAGGAAGGGAAACTGTCACTAATAAGTTGCTTGGTGCAGTGGTAAAAACTCAACTAAACTCGACTATCAAGCGTGAGAAGACAAGTTCAGATACTGAGAGCAGCCAAATTGTGCAATTAATGACAAATGTTAGGTCTGCATCAAGTTTAATCCACTCACCATCCTTGATTAAACTTAGTTCCCACATAATCATGGTATAGATTGTGCTGCTTGGACTATGTCCTCTCATCTAGGCTGACTATTTTGGAAAGATATTATACTGATAACAATAATAATGATAATAATTATAATAAAGAAGGAATAATTTACGTTTGAGGACATAAGATTTTAGGCAGTTAGAAAGACAGTGACATGTTACGTGTAGCTTAGAAAAGAGTTAGGAATGGGGGGCATCCTAGCAAAAGAGTGAAGAAATCCAAGGAGGCAGTAGATTCAAGTGTTTGACGTTAAACGCTCCATAGTTTTGGATCTCAGGAAGCTCCCTGACATTATTGCTTTCTTTTGTAGATTTATAGGTGATTTGAGCTTCTGAAAGGTGCTTGTTATTATTTGCACTCGGACATTGCATGTGCATGGATTTAACTCCTACATGCCTCATTTACCTCTCTACTTTTAAGCATACAACTAACAATACATTTGCATGGTTGTCTTGATTCTATAAGGCAAATAATTTAGTAAATATGTTGGGGAAAATAATTTGATAGTATATGAGTGAGCTTGTTTATTTTGATGGAAGCATGTCTTTGTTTGCTCCTGTATAGGTTTGTACTGCCTAGGCTACCTCTTTCTTTTTCATTTTTTCCAAAAATATATACAAACAATATGAAATGCATACATTATTAAGAAAACATATACTAACAATAAAAAATGCATGTTATATATCTTTTCTGTTTTTACTAGAAGGCCAAAGATTGAGTAAATATGTACTGAAAGATCTCTTATATTTTCAATTATTTGGGGATAAGTGAAGAGTGATCACTTAGAGTATCACCAACCCAACAACATTTCCCCAACGCTACAGAACCTCAATTAATCAATTACATGGAAGGAATCTTTTGTGCCATTTCGCCTTACTACTTTAGAATACCTATCTGCTAGGTGTATTTTGCAACAAATGGACATTACTTCTAGTTTGAACTTCTTACTAGAATTATTGATTGCGAAGTTGGAAATGATTTTGGTGATGATGACATAGCCGCAATATTGGGAAATTTATCCCTGCTGAAAGGAAAATTTTGGTGACAAATGGACATTACTTAGAGTTTGAAGTTTTTACTACAACTAAGGGACCTTTTTTCTCCGGTGACATCCAATTAAGGTACCTTGACCAGCAGTATAGCATATATTAAATTAAATCCTAGATGATCTCAAGAATCCTTGAGGGAATGATGTTGGTATTGTCATAGCATGCAATTAGGAAACTTAGGTATTGAAATATATTTAAAAATAAATTTTATCAAGAATTCCGATTAGAATGTTGTGACACTAACATTTTTAAAGATGCCATGAACATTGATAATCCTTTGTTAAAAAATGATGCACAACTAATTCGGCTTTTCATAGTAAAACTAGGAAATAGGTTTTCCTTGTCCCTCCATAGGTTCAATTGCTTGTGCAATGGAAGTTAGATTTTCGTCAGTTAGTTTATTTATTTGTAAGTGGGAAAAAAGAAAAGAAAAGACAATAAAACTAGCTCCACTTGCCTTTGAGTTGTAGCTGTTGTCTTATTTGGTTCTGTGGAGAGAACCTGCAGTTTGAGTGGTTCCCGTGGAGATGAGTCTTGTTCTGGACTGCTGTTTGAATCTTCCCTTTGAGTTCCATTTTGGGACCTATGTTTTGAATGCATTTTCTTCTGTGTACTCTCTCTCTCTCTCTCTCGAGCACGCACGCACGCGCACACATTTACTGATGTTAATTATCTGAACTGTTTTAGGTTTCTAGCAACATATACTAGATTGTGCAGCCCTTAGTTTCAAAAGAAATGGCCATTCAGGCCTCTCATTTTTTTTTCTTTTCCTTTTTTTTTTTTTTTTTCCAGTAATTAAAAGTAGAATTTGGTTAGTAAGAGCTCAGACCCAACTCAAAACACACAAATAATATGCCCCAGTAACGACTTGAACCCTAAACCACCCATGTGGGTGGTTGAGGAGATATTACTTGAGCCAAGAGGTTCAGTGATTCAAAATATTAGGTCTATTTTTTTTAATTATTATTATTGTTATTTTATATTGAAACTCAACATATGAGCTGTTCTCTAAAGTTGATATTTTTCATGTCTTTTTCTTTTCGTGATTCCGTTAAACAAATTTGCCCTTGTTATTTCAATATCTTTATCTTTAATGTTTTTCAGTTTTGGAGTTTGGGAAGCAGCAAAATGGGTTGCACGTGTTCGTGAACGGTCTATTTATGATCCTAAACGTCCAATACTGCTCAATTTAACAACTGATATAGTGGAGGAAAATAGATATTTGCAGTGCAAGGAATCTGCATTAGAGACTGCTTTTCTTCTGAAGATGATGGATTCCTAGCATTTGCTTTTATGTGGTTCTCCACAATGGAAGGAAGATTACGATCGTGGGAATGTCAATCCGTTTGAGAAGTAATTTTTTAAAAGTTGATCCTTCAGAAATCAATCCACTATCCACTCAGCTAAATGAATCGACTTTTCTAATTTTCCTGTTCCATTTAGTGCAAGTCTTCCCCAGATAAGGAGTTCCCCTGTTGTGGTATGAGTTATCTGGCTTTGTAATGTATTTTATTTTTGCTTACCAGCCAACGGAATGAATTGGACGAGCTTTTGTTCATTTAGGTGGGATTAGAGGGAGTGGTACATGAATCTGAGTTCGCGTGGGTTGTTTTCTTTCTTCTGTTGAGATATAAGTTTGTTATCTGTACATGTCAATGAAGCTCACTACTTGTATAAAGAATTGCAGTTCTTGCCTGGTAGTGCGATTACTTTTATTTTTGTCTGGATTATGATAATGGTGTATTGATATTGAAAAAAACTTACGATACGGTAGATATATTCTTTTGTTTTTGAATTAAAATTATTTGTTGATGATGATGAGGACGATGACGGCCAAATCGAAGAAACTTATTAGTTCAGTTGCCACCTACATCTTCAATCGGTTCGAGTTTGTCAACCCATCACTGTCACCAACCACCACCATGTAAAGTTCCCTTTTGAAGACAGCTTTATCACAAACATTGTCAAAACACAGCACCATTGTCCCTATTTGCTTTGATGCTATCATCTAGCGAGGTAAACCTATTTTGCATATGAAATGTAGTGAAAGTGTGTTTGGGTATATGCAGGGTATCGTTACCTCATTTGTTTCTTTACTAGGAAAAGCAGGGTTTGATCGTCATCATCATCATCATGTTCTAAAAGGAATGGTTTAGTGCCATCTCCTTTTTCCTACCACTTAGGTATGGACCCACCCAAGCTTTCCTAGAAAGCAGAATCGACATAAACAAAAAAAGATTAGTAGAAGAATTCAAGCTTTCACCATTATCCATGGCAAACATGTTTCAGTGGGTGTGGCCCAAAAATGATAATTGCCATGCCAAAGGTAAGAGGTCCCATGGCTAGGACCTAGCCAATTCCTGATTTCAATTTTCTTGTGGTTGGAGATGATATGGTGTTTGTACAAGGAATAAATAATATCTGTTGTTAACATCAAATCACTGTGCTTGTTGTATTATTTAAAATATCTCATGGCTCCATTTTTTTCTTTGATAGCTGACATGTTAAATCTTAGAAAAGGAAAGTGGCAAAGTTAGGTGAGTTGAAACTATCAGCAAGATTAAAATAAAATAAAATAAAATAAAAATCAGTTCAGTTAGAGAAAAAATGGTGCTTATTCTGTGAAACCTTGGACTTGAAATTGAACCAAGATAAAAGTAATTGGATGCAAGACTAGGCGATTATCAATGACGGTTAATGCATGAACTGCTCCAATTAAGAAACTTATTATTAAAGACCAATGTGACAGGGTAAAGACTATGACAAGAAATGTGTTTCTGACGTCAAGTTTAAGACCACATGTAATTAATCATCAACCTCATCACTTGACCATACTGAGGTATTCGTATCATCATCAATCATCATCATCCTTTGAAGAACATGGAAGAAAATGAAAGTCCATTTAGATTCCACAAATTGTTCAGGTTTAAACTAAAAACTTCCTATGTATGTTTAGTCTGGAAGGAAGCAGAAAGGATTCTCTGAAAGATTCGTACGGTTTACAATTTTATCCGCTGAAAACTGCAAGTTAAATTTTGATTCTAACATTAGAACAGACCAGAAGTCCATATGGATTCCGCAAATTGGTCAAGTTTTGAACTCTCTCCTGTGTTTCATGCCATTTCCATCCTGGGTCGCGTCCTATGCCATTACCTCGCTCATGCAATAACTACATTACATTTCTTATGCGACAACTACTTTTTTATGTAGCAATGTAATAGCACACAGGACCAAGGCACGGGATCCCCCTCCACAGAAGGGCATCCGGATTCGTTGAAGATAATAATGGAAGGAAGCAGAAAGGATTTTCTCGGTTCACAATTTTATCCACAAACTGCTGTTGAAACTTTAATTATAAAACTGCTGTTGAAACTTTAATTCTCGCATACGAAACAAACAAACCAAACAAGAAAAATATATTTTCTCTATCTTTTTTACCCCGAAAAAACAATCATTTCTCTTTTTTCCTTCACTTGTGGTTCCAGTAGGGGGTTAAAGAATCCAGAGTTTTCTTCTACATGCCACGATGGGAAGCCAGCTTTTCTATACGCGTTAATGTGATAATTATTCGTTTATCCTGATTTTCTAATGCACACTACTCAGCCTCCAGATAATAATTACTTACGAAGAGTTCCATTATCTTCCGATAGTGTCACAAAGGCAAAATAAGGGAGGGATGGGATATCAGGTGAAAATCTAATTGACAGAACAGGGATTATTGAAGTTTTATCTGAAAGAAAAGAAGAAAATGTTGAATAAACAATAGCATAAAAAATCAACTAAAAAATTTCACTTCTCATACGAAAATACAAAATGTGAACACTGAACACACTTCCAAATAAAAAGGCACTTCAGAGAGAGTGATAAAAATTATCAAAACTGAGATTGCACAAAAAGTTCATAGCATCAATTGGAATTGCCCATGTCATTTAATTGTATAACAGCCTGAACCAACCAAAATAAACAGCATTTTGTACACAAAGCAGGAAAAAACAATTTGATATAGAGATAACAGATTGTGAAGTAGGGAGTCGTGCCCATTTAATGATATGCTTCTAGTTCATGACTTCTTGAGTGGATACAAATTTCTAAAGCTAACTCTACAAAGAACCCCAGGAGGTGAAAGGAAAAATCCAAACAACAAACAACATGAATGAACAAATTCACCCGTTTGTGGCAAAGTCTCCCAGAAACAATACCTTAAATCCTTGTTGCAACTGAGGTCGCTCTGACTCCAATATTGTATTCCTTCAGATCAACTTTTCTTTCAAACTAGAAACTAAAGCATCACAACCTTTCCAGCCTTATGCTTCTGAACCTTCTGCAACGGTTGAAAGGCCAACCTCTTTAACAAAGTCTGGGTTGAGAAACTTTGCCACAAATGCCCACAACTTATAAACATCATGAAAATTAGTCAGAAAGCCAAGAGATGCTGTGACAACCTCAACTCTAACGAAGCCACTTTTCCCATCATGGCGACCATTTTCCATAGGTCTGCACAGGGTAGTATCTTCAAGATTCAATGCGCCATGTTGCTGTCTCAGACTATCTAGAATACGAATATGACTAAGAATTCCAATTCCCAGAGAGATACCATTTGACTCAGCCAGCTTCTGAACGACTTCTGGATTGACTAGTCCTTTATTTCTGTCTCTCACATTGAAAGCCACTGCTGCACCCCTTTCATATTTAATCTTTGGGCCATAGATGTGAACAAGAGGCACAGTCTGGTCTCCATCTGAACTAGGTAATCTCAACTGCAGTAATGAGGTCACTAGCCAGTTGATCAAAAACCGCAATCGAAGAGTGGTCTTGTTGAGACCCAACATATTTATATGATCGAGATGCCTGCATGCTATCTCAGGTTCTCTCCTGTCTGAGTCTTGCCTGTCACCATATTCTCCATCACTCGTGTAATCTTCATCATCCAGGCCTGTGGCAGATAATTCTCCGAGCTCCGAAGTATGGCTCAGACGTGCTCTATGGTTTTCTTCCATGCTAAAGGACACCCTTCTTCCCCTGCTTCCAGGCTGTTCAATCTCTTCTATACCAAAAAATCTACCACCAGCAAACCTATTTCCTTCCCTCCTTCCCAATAACCTAAACTCACCCTCCGTCTCTCGTCTTATGGCGCTCTCTTTTGCCTCCATGCAAATTTCAGAAGTTGAGCCATTCTCTGGTCTCGGTTTGCTGGCTACATATTCCTCCTGGATCTCCTGTACATACCGATGGTCTGAGCCCTTTCCACTGTTTTGTGAAGTGGGGTTTGTTTCTGTGTACTGAGCTTCTTCAGGAACTGTTTTAACGCGGCCCAATTCCTTTGACACCATTCGAACAGCATCATCAAATAACTGCACATGGTGGTCCTCATGAGATCCTATTACCTCCTTATCATAGATTGGACTGTTAGATATCTTAGCTGATGCTTTTGGAGAGAACCGCTTGTTCTTCCGGCCAGTAAACCACAAAGGCGGTGAAGGAGTTGCCAGCTTCTGTTTGTTCAACTGACCAGCATTGTCTGACCCAAGTGGGCTTTGACCCAAGTCAATCCATAATGAGTTGTCCGACGACTCATCTTCACTGAAAACTGGACTCTTCATCATCTCCCCAACTGATACACTTTCAGTTTCTTCAATTATGGTGCTTGCCCCATCTCTATCAGAGCTGTTATCATGATCCATCTCTGTCTCAAATACATCCCTCACCTGAGCAGAAGTATATGCACCAGAAAATGCAGGAAATTGTGCTCCTGGCCGAGTTTCAGACGCGACTTCACCATTCCCATCAACTTCATCATCTTCAATTCCAGCAAATCCAGAAATACCATCAATAGAATCACTCAGGTACAGAGGAAAAACAGGGGTGATTTTCACTATACCAGGACCTGCATGCCCAGATTGATTTTGAAGGCTTGCCATCACAGACTTTTTAATGAGTAGGCACCCAAAACCAGTTGGGTCATACCCAAAAACCCTGTAAAACGATGTTATAATGAAATCTGGACGGAATAGAGATAACCCAAGCGAATCCATGTCTTTAGGACCCAGTGATCCAGCGTCAAGCAAGACATGCCAATTGTTCTGTTGAGCCAGTGCCATCCACTGGTAAGAATACTTGGCACCAGTAACTCTAGACTGAACTGGGAACACAAAAAGACCGACAGCAGAGTCCTTCTTCCTCCTCTTTTTGCTCGAGATTTGCTTTCTCAGATCGGTCGAGCAAAGTTTGAGGGTTGGCCATTTAAACCATGCACTGCAGACTTTTGCCCCTTTCTCCTTGGCACCCTGAGCCATCCAATTCACAGACTGGCTCTCATGATCAAACATGGTTAACAACCTTTTGTTTGTATGGAAAGGGTAGGATTCAGCTAGCAATTTGAAAGCTGACCCTCTACTCACAGTAAAAACAAGGCCATACTCATTCTCAGGGATGTTCAGATAATCCATTATCCTAGTTTTTATATCATGTTCCACTGTGCCTTTCTCAGCACCTCCATATAAAGCATGATTACTCAAATTTGCAGTTATCTCAGACAAGCTAAATGTAGATGACTCCCAATAATGAACGCTCTGAAGGAAAGAAAACAGCCCAAATCCACAGTAGTCAAGACATACCTTAGGTATTGAACCCGATAGGTGTGCATACTCGTCCGACCTCAGCTGATCGATCTTCTCGGAGCTCTGGTATTTCGGGTACATAGTGAGGAACTTTGAGAATGACTCGTGGAGGTCAGGGATGGACTCCTCTGATTCGAACGTCCGGTCCGTCGCAAGGGCAGTGGCTCTGAGGAATTCCTTCTGAGCGTGGAGCCTTGCGAGAGATCGAGACCGCCCCAAACCCTCATCTTGATTGGCGACTGATTCAGAGTCCATGCCTTGGGATTTAACGAGTGAACCATCTTCAGATGCTTCTTCGAGAGCTTCCCTGAGCTTGTGCTCTTGCAATTTTCTGAGAACAGATGAGTTTCTCTTGTTGTCCTCTGTTGAATGTTCAGAGTTATCCTTTTTTCTGCTCTTTTTATCCATGATCAGAGCAGCACAGAGAGATATTGGCTTCCATAGCGAAAGATGCATCAAAGCTTGTAATAGATTTGAGAGGAATACCAGAAAGAATGACTAGCTCAACAAGATCAAAGAAACCCTAGATCGACTGAAACAACAAAATTGGAGTTCAGAAATATGAAGGTCAAAAGGTAAAGCAGACACAGGTATTAGGGTTCAGTCTGAGAAATCCAGTGAATCAGTGGACCATTTGTAATGGGAGAGAGGGCAAAAAAATATATATTTAAGCTGATAAAAATTGAAAACCCATAAAGATTCAAAAGATTCCTGAAATTTTAAACCCTAGATCCACAACATTAACATGAGATTGGAAGAAAACCAATACAGAGAGACAGAAAATCAAAGATTTAAACCCCAAAATCCAAAACCCAGATCCCAAAAAATGGCAAAGAACAGATACTACAGAAGACACTTACAGCAAATGTAGTAGAGGAATGGCTCCAGAGAGCAACAAGACAGAGAGTTGAACAAAGCCCTTGACTTGCATCCAAACCCAATTAAAAGAAAAACCTAAAAGAGCTCCAATCAATCTCTCTCTCTCTCTGTTTCTCTCTCTAGCTTTTCTGCATCACAATTACAGGCAGACCCTCCACATCAATTGCCCATTTACTTCAGTTGAGAATCCAAAACATACGCTCTCTATTTTGATTACCCCAGTGCGCTCCCCCTCTCTCTCATTGACCCTATTTGGCAATCTCCATCCACAATCTACACTAAACCTTTAACAAACAGTGTGAAATGACATTGACTTTCACATATACCAATAAGGGGCTGTTGTGTTATTTATTACCAGCTTAATTTTAATTTTAATTTTAATTTTAATTTATGCTAGTGTTTTGTGGGACCTACCACAACCTTTTCCTTCCTACAGTCAAATAATCATCTGCCTTGGATAAAAGCTGTTTTCTGTCCAGCTCTAAAGTCTTCCATACTCCTCCAATGCAAAAAAAAAAAAAAATTCAATTTTCCATTGAGAAAACAAGTACAAACTTTTTCTTTTTCAGTTTTTTTTTTTTTTTTTTTTTTCTCAAAAATTAAAATAAATACAGTTTTTTTTTTTCATGAGACTCCGATAAATGTAAAGTTAAAATTTTTTTTTTGGATGTATATGCATCTTTTTCTAAATGAATAACGACATAATTAAACAAACTACAAAAAGGAATATTATATGGACTGAACTTGAAATTCACTCATCAATAAACATTTAGCCCAAATTAGGGATAAAACATGGGAAGGTCAATCCAACACTAACTTGAGTTTAATTGAATCTTTAACGCGTTTAAGGGTAAGATTGAATAGATGCAAATTTAATTGGAGTTAGACATGTGCGAGCGAGTCCACTTACACAGTGAGCCACTGTTACACTCTGGGAATTCGATCTAAACTTGGAACTAATATCATTATGCAATACAGCCAATAAATCTTCGAGGACAAGAACATAGTAAGAATATCAGAAGGCTTCAAAGAGTTAGCTGTGTCAATAACTTATCACTTACCTACCAAACCTACCAAAATGCCAAAACACAAATTTGAAACTCACACACACTCATCACTAACAGAAAAACAATGCTTGCTCATAAATACAATAGCAAGTCTAATATTGTTAGAATTCCATCATTTTAACAAACAAACTTCTAAATTTCTAATTGATGTTTGAGTCTGACCCTTATCTAACACTGTCTAGCCTTTAATTCACTCATCTTGTTTTGTGTCCAAGTTTTTTGTATTTATCAGAAAAAACATAACTAAATTTCGTAAGGAACAATATTTGCCTCTTCAGAAGGGACGAGAATCATCGATGTGATATGACATGCTTTTACTTTGAATTTAAAGTATGTAAGAAAAAAAATATGAAAAAATATTATTTTTCTCTCTTACATTTAAAATTTAGGTTTTATTACACTCACCTTCTTAAAGTTTGGTATATTACATACAGGTGCACCCCTCTGAGATTTGACGCGTGTACCCAACGACACTCTAAACATTTCTTTTCGGCAAATTTGTTGACCAAATTATATAAAATGACAACTTTACTATTTTTTTTCTACAAAATATATTATAAAGACATTATTATTATCCACACTCAAAGTCACTTTTCAGCCGCCGACAAACAAATTTAGAAGAGATTAAAGTAATAAATCCTTTAACGATTTACCAATGTATAATCTATCCAAACTTGAAGAGAGATCAAAAAAGCTTTATTCATTGTGTTAATATACTCTTCTTCTGGGGCTATATATGACATAAGATCACAATTATATTATTATTATTATTGTTTAAACAATAAGAGAAATAAATAAAATCAAAGAAAATTGAATATTCTAGAAGGGGTACAACTGCATCAAGTTGGGTACTCAATTGTTACAGTTGTTTATTATGGATCAAAAGAAGAACAGTTTAGTCAACCCCATATTTTAGGCTTCTACTGTTAAATTATTGGCTTTTGATGCAAGTATAACACATATATTGAGATGTCCTTAGATTTGTTTCTGATTTTAATATTTCTTCCTGTTTTCAGTTTGATATTTAATATTGCAGATGCTCCCATCTCATTTTTATTTTTGGTTTTAAAATTAAGATTATGATATCTTGTTAATTTCTAGTTTTAAAAAACAAGCTATCTATCACTATAACATTATTACGGTATATTATTTGTTAATTTTTTAAACAAATTAATTAATTAATTATTCTTACAGTACTAATTTTGAAAATGTCCTTGTTTTAGAATTTAATGATGAATTATTAACTTAAAAATTTATTGGAAAGTCAATCTCATTTCCTTCCTATGTTTTATCAGATTTTCTATAGAAGAAATAGTGGCATCCCTTGTTTTCTTTCAAAATGGAAACACCAAACATTTCTTTTTTATTTTCATCTAAGGGACACAAACTCTCACATTCACTTTGAAAGATAGAAAATGTATCATTAATAGGGATGTCAACTAGGCATGTTCGGGACAAGCACTCATTTTTCAAACCCATCCAACCAATGAAAATCTTTCTCCAAACCTGATTCAAGGTGCTCCGTCATGGTTGGGGTGAGTTCGAGGTGCTCCAATATATATATTTAAAAAAATAATAATAATCTTAAAAAAATTTAAGATAAATTATATAATTTTTTTTATATTATAGTCAAATATTTAACAATCACAATAACAAAAATATTGTTAAAATTTAAAATATCATAAGAAATATAAGATTAAAATACAATTAATAAAATATAATTTATTTATATATTAATTATTTCGAAAACACCAAACATTTGAAGACACCCATTATCTTAGTATAATTTATGAAAAAAAAAATCTTATAACTTAATCATGTTTTCATTAAAGTCAATTGACAAAACCCAAATAAAAAAGTAATTTTCAAGACAAAAAAAAAAAAAAAAAAATGTAGAAGCATCACATAACATGTGATGATTCCATTGAGTTGGCCAAGTTGAAAATAATAATAATAATAATAATTAATTTGACTAAATGGTTAATTACATTTTTTTTTTTTTTTTTTTTTTTGGGGCAATACTTTAATTATCAGCCATTTTTTTTCCCTGTAATTATCAGCCAATTGAATTTCAAACATATCTTATGCCACTTCTTAATTGATTAAAATCCTCTAAAAATCTGTGTGTGCGTGTGTGCGTGTGTGTGGGTTGTGTTGTGGGGTCGACTGCTCCTTTGGATTCCCTTTTCCTGGATAGCCGGACAAGGGCACAAGACCCTAAAAACTGCCCCAAAAGGAAAAGGCCAATTACAATTAAAACTTTGTTTTGGACGGACAATTCAATTTTACATGAGAGTGAATGAATAAAATACCACTAGTAGAAAAGATAAATAATCAAACCCATATGGTAATTTTTTTTTTTTGTCATTACCCATATGCTAATTTTGTTTTTTACAATTGACTTAATAGTTAATAGTAGTGTAAAATGAATGTAGTTGGTTTTAAGAATTTCACATGTGAAAAATAATCTTTAGAAATAGTAGCTATAGAAGTAGGTCAAACCCAAAAACAATTGATGCACGAATCTCGAGGATATTTTGGTTTGATGCATTGACTTTATCAAATTTCAAAACTCGTGTTGGTTTACCATATGATTTGTGTGTGGAACAGCCTCGTCCAATTTTAGTGCTCGCATTCAAAAAGGTGTTAAAAAGTGTGTCAAATATGGACCACTCAAGCCTAGAAGATGGGTAAGCTGACTTGGTCCAAACAAAGCACGGAGGAGACCACTACAAGTATTTAATTTGCTTGTGCGGGGATACATCGACAAGGGTAGCAAATTATTATAGGATCTGTGATTCAAACATAATATGAGATAAGTAAATTTAAATTTTAAGTGAGTTGACACGATTAATTTGTTTATTTAGTTGTATTGGGTTAAAATTAATAAGTTTATCTCATATAATTTGTTTATGACCCGTTTAACTTAACATGTTATAATAGTAAATATGACTTATATAATATGTTATCTGTTTAAACTCAATTATTATGGATAGTTAAGTCAATTCAACATAAATATTGTCTACGCCTTATGAATTTTCTTCTTATTTTGAATAATTGAGTTAATTGTGACAAAAAATTTCTATTTTCTATTGTTTATTTTTTATTAAATATTAAATGTCTCATTTTGATAAACAAATTATTAAATGGGTTAACACATTTAGCTGTTTAATAAACAGGTCGGATTAGTGTTGAGAGTTCTTGGTACGATTGTTAAATGGATCGGGTTTGAATTTATCTGTTTACTATAATACCCTTACATCGATGTAACACAATTACGACTTACGAACTCGAATTGTCACCCCTACATATAAACCAATCATATATATATATATATTTATATTTCTCCAATTTTGTCATTTCTTGATTTCATGTGCCATATTTTTTATTTAATTTAATTTTGAAATTGGAAAAGTTACCAAATACTTTATTTATGTATTATATATCTTTTTTTGGGATGGGGTGGGGTGATTAAGAGATAAAAATTATACTAAGCAAAGCAAAAACAAGAAGCGCTTTAGAAGTATATGAGTTACATGGATGATAAGTTTAATTAGAGTCATTTATTACAAGGCAACATGTAAAAATACTTTGCTATATAAAAAATTTGCAAAAAAATACTATTCCTTTTTAGTTTGTGCATATAAATTCTTAATATTTAAAAGGAGGGTAAAGTACAGCCACACCCCCTAAGGTTTGCCAAAAGGACACTCATAAAAAACTTACCTGTTTTTTGGACGACACCCCTTGAAGATTTAAAAATGGACAAAGACACCCATTTATATGAAAAATTGATCAAATTACCCTTTGATTATTTATGAGACTTTTTTAACTTCAAAATTTAATAAATTGGACCAATCTATCTTTATGAATAATTTATGCATAAAAAAAATTAAAAAAAAAACTTTATATTGTTCACTTTTTTTTTTTTTTTTTTTTTTGTTATTATGCATTTTCTAACATAAAAGAAAATAGGTGCCAGTATAACTTTATTCATCTTAACTTTATGCATGCCTTTGTTTTATTATTATTTTTTCCCTTTGTTTTATTATTATTTTTTTCCCTTTTATGTTGGAAAATGCATAATATTTTATATATAATTTAAGATGCATAAAGTTATACTGGTACCATATTTTTTATTTTTAAGGAAAAGAGATTGGTTTAATTTTTTTAGATGAAAGAATTAAGTATTTTAATTTAAAAATAAAAAAGAAAAAGAAAAAAAGTAATAACAAAATATAATTTATTTAAAATATATGTATTGGATCAAAAAATCATTTTGGACGTCTACATTTTTAAGAAGTTTGGGACATTTATAAAGTAAATAACAAAAAAAAAGTGAACAATATGAAGTTTTTTTCTTTTGTTACTTTTTTTTTTATGCATAAATTGTTCATGAGGGTAGATTGGTCCAATTTATTAAATTGTAAAGTTAAAAAAGTCTCTTAAACGGTCAAAGGGTAATTTGGTTAATATCTCATGTAAAGGGGTGTCTTTGTCCAAAAAACAGGTAAGTTTCATCTTAGTATCTTTTGCCAAACCTTCAAGAGGTGCATTTTTTTTTTTTCTTTCAAAATGTCAAACTTATAATAGTTGGTTGTATAATATGGAGTTGACAAGCAATGAAGTAATTATACTTGTAATAAAATGTCAAAGGAAATATGTCATAAAAGAATGTACAAATTGTTTTATAATATTTGAGTGTTTTTTATTTTTATTTTTATTTTTATTTTTATAAAGGGCATTTTAGGTATTTCAGTTTTCAAATTAACAAAATATTCTTATTTGCTAAATTTGAAAAATGTAGAGTTTTTTTTTTTTTTTTTTGGTAACACCTAAAGATCTATTTGCACATTTTGTATACGACATACAGATATATATATATATATATATATATATATATATATATATATATATATATTGTCTGCACTTTATCTTTTATTATACTGATTGCTCTGTATTAATTAAGCTAAAAAGAGGTGGAGAAAAAAAAAATGATCAGAGCTAAATAAATTAATTTCCCCCTATTTTTCTCTTTCGTTTTTGGCATTCATTCATAAAGTCTACAACTTCTTATGACATATTTCATTTGTCATTTTATTACAAGTATAATTACTTCATTGCTCGGCAACTCCATATATATACATCCAACTATTCTAAGTTTGACATTTTTGGAAGAAAAAAAAAAAACACTGAGTGGGAGTTTGAGAAGGGTTTGCTTTCCAACATCATAATGTGACTATATATTGAACTTTGAATCGATATATTGAAACGTTCAACTTATTCTTTCCAATATATATATATATCAAGGTCAGGACAAAATAAAGAGAATATAGAATACGTTGTTCAATATCAGCATCTTTGTTCCCAGTGCCTCATTAGTTGTCACTTACTTGTCAACAAGAATAAACAATGTCAATAAACAATGTCAATCGTCAAACTTGCTGAAAACTTCAAAGTATATAGTATCATATTTTTAACATATATACACCAATTAGTGTGTGTGTGTTTATATATATATATATATATATATATATGTATGTATGTATTGTTTTTGTGTATATACAATTATATAATATGGCATTGTTATATATTATAGTAAGTCCTAATTGACATGCAACTGATAGCTACGGTTGTTTGTAAACTACTAATTAATACAAATACATCTTCTGCATCACTTCAAATCAAAGAAGTTGACGCTTATCTACTTCTTTATGCATATGAGTTTTGTTTTTGTTTATACGGATGTGAAATGATATGATTGAAGATATTATATATATATATATATATATATCATTACCCAAAACCTCCAAAGAGACTTTTTTAACCTAAGCTAGGACATTGGAAATTTAGTTGAGAGTCTATATCAGATTTCACAATCTGACGAAAAGTTAGTGTGTATATATTTTTTTACATATTATAGGAAGAGGTAAGTTATTAAACTTAATTTTAGTGAAGTTATTTTTATATTTATTGTTTTTCCAAAATTTTGTTTTATTTATGTCTGGTCCATGTCTGCTATAGTTTTCCTCTGATCCGAATTGATTAGATTTGTCTCATTTGCATTTTCTTGTGGTTGGTTTTTTCTTGGCTAAATATACAGGGTGCCATCACATGTCTATATCTTGCCTTGTGATTGTGCTCTAGGTTTGGCTTCCTTTAGTTTTTTTTGGCTTATTTATATACTTCGCCCACTTGTGTATTCCTCTATATTTTTCTAGTTTAATATTACTTCACTTTAATTATCAAGAAGGAAAAAAGAAAAAAGAAAAAAGAAAAAAGAAAAAATGCACTCACACACACACACAAACAAAAAACAGAAATAGAGCCTTTTGATAGTTTGCTTTTACCCCTAAAACAACTCTAAGATGTTTTTGCATATATAATTGGTCAACAAAAACAAAATAAAATCAATGGGATTTTTTTTTTTTTCAAAAGATATTCCATCTTGGAAGGTCAAAGAAATAAGTCCCTTTTCATTTCTGAACAAAGAACTTTATAATTGAAAAGCAAAGCAGATGTTTTTACTTTCTTCAAACATTCCCCACCTTCGATTGTCCCAAATTCAAAAGTTTAAAATTATCTTATTTTTTTTATAAAATAATAAATAAAATAGACTTTATATTTTACATGCACCGGGAAATAACTTCATTCATAAGGCTCCGTTTGTTCCAAGCTTCCAAATAAAGCATTTTCTGAATAAATTAGATTCATTTTCAGTTCAATACTTCCACAAAGAAAAAGAAAAAGTTGATTTAAAGTAGTGGTGATGTCTACTACATATTCTAAAGAAATTATTTCCCCAAAGATCTTATGGTGCAAGTGGGAAATGAATTTGGAGGCAAAGTCATTTTAGCATATGGGTGATGATCACTGACCAGTCAACAATATCTGAAATGTGATGCTTTAATGCTTTTCATCATTCCTTGGAATTCTAGAGGACGCAAATTAAAAATAATTGCTTGAAGTCTAACTAATAATACCATATTCTTCTACTGTGCATTGTCAATGTAAACTGTTTTTGCTATTATTAGGTCATCCACTTAGGTGTATATCCTCTTCCTTATAAAAATTAAAATTAAAAAATTAAAAAATTAAAAAAGTAAAAGAGATCTAAGTCCTAATTGGGGAAAAAAAAAAAAAAAAAAAGTGCTGGTGAAAGAGTTGTTTACCTAATAAAAGGGAAAATGTTGGAAGTAGGCTTTTGACTTAAGAGTGATGAATAGAGAGAGAGAGGGTGGTCTCTTTTTGGAAGAATGTCTCCTGCTTTGGGGCTTTGCTTTTCTTTTCCTCTCTTATCACTTCTTTCTTGTTTCAATGATGTCAACAAGTAATATTTCTTCTAAAATGAGCTGAGTGGCAATTAATGCTATCTTTTGGGATCTTGGGCTTCTGAGAGGGTCAGAATGGGCTTGGCCCTTAAGTGTGTCAACCCATTGAACTTCCAAAACTCGGGGAAAAAAAAATACTATCTGCGCTTACAGGTGTTCATTGGGCCAGAAAGGATGGGCCCAAGATATTGGAGAGCCCAACTGCATTGTCCACAGATACAATATGGTCAAATGATGCTTATTAGATGATGAGCTTGAACTGTGCACTAAATAAAAGTGTGAAGCCACAATCTTCATGTCCTTTTATATAAATTGTATTATGAGTTAATGCTGCAAACTGCATTCACATAGCCTACAACATTATGCAGTTCAGTCGTAGGTAGCAAACAACTGAACTTAAATCCTTGTTAATATTGAACAAAGAAAGCATCTCATCTTCACGTCCTTTTGCGATGACAAGCCTCAATCTTCCAGTAATAATGTTCAGTGTCAACATTTGGGATTGATAGATTGTGAACAATTCAGGTTAGCCCCTTCTTTATTCTTCAAAGTCTCCTCCTTCATCCATATGGACTCGTCATATTGTTGCTTTGCTTCATTCTCTGATATAATACATTTTTTTTTTTTTCCCTGATAAGTATTCTCTGATATAATACATATGAACACATGAGGAATGGGAGTGGAAGTTACCTTCTTCTATAGATTGCCAGTAGGAGGGTGCCCTTTTGCATGATAGCGCAAACTGCAGTTTGCAAATTCAGCAACAGAGAGCACAAAATCCACTCTGCATTCTGTTTCGGTTCAAGCACATACTCACCATATCTGCTCAAAGGAAATCATATAGTAGAAGTATGAGAATCAGACTGCATATTTTTCGAGTGGTATATGTGCAGTAAGGATATTCCAGTTTTGGACGGGATGCTTTGAAATCATGTTCAACAATAACCATTAACCAAGTGATCATTATGAATTGATTTTTCTTAGAATGCTTATTACTTCAGTTCTACCATAAAAGCATATTTGAAACAACTTTTCCGTGGATCTAATTGGGAATGCTGTGTAAATTTTAAGGCCACCAGTCTCTGAGGTTCAAGAAAATCTGTACTGATTATCGATTTTGTTTGATTTTGATGGATTTCTTGTTATAATAATTGCTCAATACGATTTCTTGGATTGCGATGTAAGATTCAAATGATTGTTAACTGATCTCAGTGATACCATCAGTGGTTTGGGAGGTCAGTGGCTGTGAGTTCTGCTGGTTGATGCTAGAGTAAAGATGGGGTGAGAGAGGGAGAATGTGAGAGAGTTGCTGAGATGTTTTGGAGTTGGGTTTAGTTGGGACAATTTGCTTTGGGCAGTTTGCTAAGAAGCCAGATAAAAAAAAAATGGTATGGAAATTTAGTGCAGTGTCGTTCTAAGTCTAGGTAATTATTTTGCTAATTTGGTTTTCCAAAAAAAAAAGATATTTTTGACTACCATTGCAGTAAGGCTCCTTAATTCTACCCACTGCAGTTTTTCCTTTCTATACATATTAGTATTTTAGTCCATTTGAGAACATAAAATTATATAAACAAAAATTTGAAAACAAAGGGTTTGAGCACTTAATCTGAAGCATGGGGACTTCGTCCAGGAAGGAGTCTAGACGAATTTAGCTTAAATGCAAGGAATGAATGGATGTAGCAGAAATTGGAGCGCTTTGTGAATGTATTTTCCAATTTTCACATAAAAGACGAATAAATTCAAATTTCGGGAATGTATGCTAGCAAAAAAATTCATCAGCATAGATTTTCCCTTCAATTTTGAATATCAAACTGTGGGTGGCATGCATAACTGCCACATGAAGAGGACAATTAATCTCTTTGATTCTTTGGTTTTTTTTTTTAATTTTATTTTTCCACATCATCAGTTGAGGTCTCTTAGGACAACCCCCGTTGGTCTTTGGCATATTAGAGTTCATCAATCAGTTTTTTCCCTCTTGAGAGCAAGAGTATCTTTAAGATTCATAGATAAATTCAATTTGTTTATATTTTGAATTTATACGAAGTTGAGGTGACACAAGCATAGCAAAAAGATTTTACCTTGAACATGTGGCCATGGAACCCAACTCAAGCTCTTTCTTTCTCACTTAGTCTGTAGTCTCTGAATTCTTTGTACGAGAGCCCCGTGTCAAGAAGAGTCATATGCTTCAGATCTTATCATGTTCTTTTGTAATCTACACAATTCAGCTTGCATTTTACCTTGAACATGTGGCCATGGAACCCAACTCAAGCTCTTTCTTTCTCACTTAGTCAGTAGTCTCTGAATTCTTTGTACGAGAGCCCCGTGTCAAGAAGAGTTCTATGCTTCAGATCTTATCATGTTCTTTTGTAATCTACATAATTCAGCTTGCATTTCATTAACCTTTGGGTGTGATTGGTCACCTGAAGAAAAAACATGAATATTGTTCAGGACCTCGATCCAACTTAGCCCTGGATCTTTGTCCAGCTTCAGTCCCCTTATTTTTCTCCTTATTTCTGTGACAACATCCCATCTTCCAGCAGCAGCATAAAGATTGGTAAGTAATATATGTGTTGCACTGTCTTCTGCGTCTATGCTTAAAACTTGCTCAGCAGCACGAACACCAATTATCAAATTTCTCTTAATAACACACGAGCTTAATAACGTTCTCCATAAGTCTAGGTAATCTTCACTAAAAGGTGAATCGAGAATAATTTCCTCTGCCTCCTCCAGTAGTCCAGCTCGACTTAACAAAGTTACCATGCAAGAATAATGCTTAGGCCCCGGTTTTAAGCCATATTCTTTCATATAATTCCACACGAACCTTCCTTTGTCGACCAGGCCACAGTGGCTACAAGCTGCAAGCAAAGAAATGAATGTTACTTGATCTGGTCTTAGATTGTGTTTCAGAATCGCATCAAAAGCCTTCAATGCCTCTTCTGCCTTCCCATGGTGACCATATCCTCCAAGCATTGAATTCCAGCACTTTAAATCAGGGTTTGCAACTTGGGAAAGTATCCATTCGGCAGCTTGAAGATCCCCAGTTTTGGTGTACATATCTATCAGACTGCCACAAACCGGTATTTCAATAACATATCCTGTTTTTACTGCCAGGCAGTGAATCATCTCACCTTGCTTCTTTGTTGCAAGGTCGGCACATGCACTCAAAGCACTGCTAAGAACAAAGCTGTCAATCTTTTGGCCTTCTTGTGACATCCCATGGAAGAACTTAATTCCAGTCTCCCCTTCACCCATTCTAGAATGACCTACAATCATTTCGGTCCAGAGAACAATATCCTTCTCCAGAATTGAACTGAAAACTTTTTGAGCAGAATCACTTTCACCATTGTTGAAGTACATTGACACTAGCTCGCTTCCTACATAGACATTCCTCTCGAATCCTGCTTTCTTCACTTGGGCGTGAAATGATTTTCCATAGTCAGAAGCCGGGAATGATTCTGTTGCAGAAATGATGGCCACAAAAGTATATTCATCCGGTGTAGCAGAAGGCATCCGACTTAATTGGACAAACATATCCATGGCTTTCTCTCCATCCCCGTTCCCCGAATACCCCGCTATCATAGTGTTCCATGAAACTAAATCTGGATTCTCAATTCTACTAAAAACTCCAAGTGCCATTTCGGTGTCACCACAATTGCAGTACATATCAAGGAGGGCATTCTGCAATGGCAAATCAGGTGGTGTGCCAGATACTATTAATTGGGCATGAATGAGTTCTCCAGATGAATGATCTCCCAATCTGCTATATGCATTCAACACCATTGAATACGTGAATTGTGTAGGAACGGCACCAGTTTTCACCATGCTGCCAAAACAATGAAGGCCACCCAAAATCTTACCATTTTTCATATACCCAGAAATTATCGAATTCCAAGCCATCGCATCTTTGTCAACTATATGTAGGAAAACTTGTCTCGCGGATTCCAAATCCCCACAATTCGAGTACATCCCAAGTAGAGATGTTTGGACACGAATGTCACCCAAGTATCCAAATTTCATGACTTTGGTATGCAACACCGAGCCTGTCAACTGATCTTTGAGCGAAGAAAATGCTCGCAACAGGCTTGTGAATGTCGAGCCATTTGGCCTAAGGTATTCGGCTTCCAATTGAGTAAGCAATTCGAAGGCCAAAAAGGCATGCTGAGGACTTCGAGAATAGGCCGCAAGGAGTGCGTTGAAAGAAACAATGTTTCGTTGAGGCATTTTGTCGAACACGAGACGACAGTCGCCGAGGGAACCACATCGCTCGTACATGGAGAGGAGGTTGTTGTACAGAAACGGCCACGACTGTGAGATTGTGGGTGTGGAGGTTAGGAGGAGGGCGTGTATTTGGCGCGCTTTTCTGAGGGAGGTTGTGGAGGTGCATTTTTGAATGAAGAATGTTGCCAAGGAAGAGACCTCATGCGATGGTGGCATAAAAGACCGCTGGCTAATTTGTTCTCTGACTACAACTTACCTGCCAAAACCAAGCAGTTTGAAGAACACATGTATGCATATGACAATAATTCAGGGCCGGCCTTGAGATTGAAAAAATCTCGAGAGGCCCTAGGCTAACTTTAATGTGAGGCCCTTTATACATAAAGTTTCACACGCACAAAAATAAATGTCTAATTTTTGAATCCTTAGGAAAATTTTCAAGTTTAGCATCTCTTGGAGGGCCTCTTTCGACTAATAAATCTCTCATTTTTTTATCAATATTTTTCCAATTTCCTGGATCATTAATGTTCAAAGGAAGATTATCATTCTCATTCATATATTCTTCATTTACCAAATCTTCAAGTTCATTCACATTTTATTCATTTTGATTCTCATTCCTATTTTCATTCATTAAATCTCCATGTTCATTAAGATTTTCTTCATACCTATGTTCTTCATTCACCAATTCTTCAACTAAACTCTCTGTTTGTGTATTGTTCCTAAAAAACTTATGAATAGCGTCTTTTTGAGATTGAATCAATTTTTCTTCTCTCTTCTTCTTTTTTTTTTTTTTTTCATGCCCAGATTCAAATTTTCTTGTAGACATAAATGACAACAACAACAACAACAACAAAAAACAAAGGCAGAAATAGAAGTTATAGAATTAAAATATATATATATTTGTTTTGCTGAAATAAAATGTAGAATCAAAATGCAATGCAATGAACATGACACTATAATACCTTTTACTGTAATCAGCCCCTTCACACTAAAACACAAATCAAGCTCCTCCAATTTGCTCAAAGCACAAAAGTCTAAAAAAAAATGAAAATTTTGTTGTTTATATATTAATAAATTTTTTTACGTTATATTGTACTTTGTTTCATATACAATTGGGTGCCCATATTAATTGAAGAAATGACTTACCAGGCTGAAGTGATGAAAGCACTCTAAAAGATGGTAGGACCGTCGGATGCTGTAATTGTAAAAATTATAATCCACGATAAGGGCCTTCAGCTTGTTCAAGACTCAAGTTCTACCCAATTTTACCAATTAGGCTCTCAAATCCTGCAAAGGGAGATCCTGTTTCCGTCATTATCTTCACAAATATTTATAACTAAAATTCATAAAATAAAATAAAAAAATTATATAAAAAAGATCATAAAAAATTTCACCAAATAGGATTTAGTTTGCAAAACAAGAATTAAAGACCTTGATTAATTGATTTAGAAAAAAAAAAAAAAAAAAAAAAAAAAAAAAAAAAAAAAAAAAACCCATACATACAAGATAGCAGTTGCAGAGAGAGAGGGGGGCAAGCTTGAGAGTTGAGAGACAGCGGCTGAAGCTTGCCAACGGCGAACCCGAACTGGAACAGCGGGCGATGGAAAGTGAAAGATATGGGTTTTGATTTTTTGAACAATCTGAAATGATATGCCCGTAATAGGTTTTGAACTTTTGATTCTTGCAGACAGATAGATAAACTGAAATATATGGGTTTTGAAATTCTGATTCTTGTAGATTTTGTATTTTGCAGTTGCAGAGACAAAGAGAGGGCCAGTTCAGAGTTGAGAACGAGAATAGAGATGGAGGCGACTGGGGAGGCTGAAATGATTTGCTCTAATTTTTTATTTTTATTTATTTATTTTTTTTCTGGTGGCCCATCATCCATGGGCCTATAAATTTTGAGGCCCTAGGCGACCGCCTTGGGTCAGGGCCGGGCCTGCATTAGTGGTGAAAACCTAATACTTTAAAAATGTTAGATAAGTAATTGCCAAAAAAAAAAAAAAAAAGTAATTGCACAATCTCATATGTCTTTTTACATATATGAATTCCTCCTCCTCAGTCTAACGGAGTGGCCCAACAAGATAAAGAACCTCAAATGCGAAGGCTTGTTGGCCCTAATTGTTTGGCTTTGTCTTATTGACAGTAAAAAGAAAAGATTCTATTGATTCAATCTCTGGTCCGTTCTATCTGTCACAATTGTTTTAAGGAGGAAGATTCTAATGATTATCTGTTTTGTAAGTGTTCTTATGCTATGGAAGTATGGCAGCATGTTTCAGATAGCTTGCATATACCAGTTGTGAGGTTTCAAGGTTTTAATCAGTTCGTGGAGTGGCTGTTGTTACAGGTTCAGACAGCATGTCTTAACTCCAAAACCCTTAAAGGCATATTGTGTGTTTTCATTTGGAAGATTGGATGGAGAGAAATAGATCATTGTATGGTGGAACAAAGGAACAAGCTTCAGTTGCTGCAAATAATGTTATTTGGGAAGTTTTGCAATTCTTCTCAGTGGAATGACTGACTTAATGATGCTTTTTGACGTGGTGTAATTTGGCTTTGTTTCTGGGTTGATAATGGGACTATTTCGAATTTGCGGCAGCTCAGTTTGTGAGCTTATGATAGAAGAGTGGCCTTTTCAAAGAACAGTAATTTTTTATAGAAGCCTCTTCTCTTATTTTATTTTTGGTATTCTATTTTATTCAAATTTTAATTGGAAGTTTTTGTTTTTGTGGATTTAACTCCACTTCTTCGCTATGTAATGGAGAAACGTGTCCCTTGTAATTGTATTTTTCAATCTTTTATATATATATATATATATAAACCCATTTAGGAAAAAAAAAATAAAAAGAAAAAAAAGGATAAATTAATTTTAAACTCAATCCGAGTTCATTGAGATGAATTTGATTTAAAGAACTTTTTTTATTTTTTTAAAAAAAAAACAAATAATTTTTAGGTTATTTATTTATTTGAGACATTTAAATTCAAAATTTGTTTGCACAAAAAGTATTATCCAATTGAAATCCAAAAAAGTTTTATTATTACATAGTAATTAAAATTTTAAACCATTCAATTCAAATTAGATTGAGTTTACCTCACTAACTCAAACCTAACCTAATTTGTTTGGACTCATAAGATTAGGTATACAATACCATTTAATAGTGTAAGATTTTAAATTTAGAAGCTCCCCATAATTAGGAGTAATATCAGAGTTAGGTCGACTCAAGTCATATTTGAACTGAAAATTCTTGTTCCAAATCAAATTTTGAAGTGTTCACCCAACAAATTATTTGGTTGAGAGTAATAAGCAAAACTTTATCCCCACTAATTAAAGGAGATCAATCTAAAACTTTATTTAAATTAAAATAATAAAAAGTTAGATCGATATTGTATCATCATTGTCCTTTTGTTTTGTTGCTAATTTGCTATAGTGTCGTCTTTTCACTAGTCCAGCTGGCAAAAGAAGGAAATCAGCTGTACGTGATGTGGCAGAGGAGAAAATTGGTACTAAATTACTAATATTAGAAGTACAATAATACAAATGATATTATTGTGGACAGGGAGGGATGGCGGATCAGAAAAGTATGTGAGAGAAGACAATATTTAACAAAATAATATTCGGGAGAGCAATACTGAGGCCATCTTTTCAATTTTTCTGTGTCGGCTGAGTCAAAAAAAAATTTTTTTTATCAATTTTACATCAAGAGAAGATACTTATTAGCCTTGGGAGTATCTTTGTTTCAAATTTTCTAATTTAACTATTTAAAATATAAAAATCTACATTGGTCAATTTGAATAATGTAAGAACAATAATTTAGAAAGCACTTATATAGGAAACAATAGTAGTAATTTAGAAATTAAAGTTCCAACTTTTTTACACATCAATATCTCAAATGATGCATTTATTTTAGAACATTCATAAAAATTCAAAAAAAATAGACATTTATTTTGAGACAAACCCCCAACACAGACAACTTCTAAGTGTACTTATGAGCTATCTCTAAGAGATGACTGCATAGTTTGTCTGGCTTTGAAAACATAGGCATATGGTCTGCGTCTTTGATCTCTCTCACCTCCTTAACCGGGTCGTTTTCGATCATCCACAGCTGGAATTTCTCCGGTATTGCTTTATCCTCGTTGCATACTACATAAACTCGCGAAACCGATCCGTATCCTTCATTTGTGAAATTGTTTGCCTTTGCTAAATCTTCCATAAACAACGAACTTGGTCTTACCAACAATTTCGCTAATGCCAAATCCTACACCAAAACACTATGTCAAATTACAATTGTGCTGCATAAATATGTATAGAGAGAGAGAGATGAATTACACCAAATCACCATGTCAAATTACAATTATGCTGCATAAATATGTATAGAGAGAGAGAGAGAAGAGAGAGAGATGAATTACCTCAGTGGAGCATAGCTGGTAGAGTTTGAGTGACAAGAACTCCGGACCGAAAAACATGGACGTTAGAGACTCGTCGGGACCACCATACGTTCCGAACTTGGTGTCCACCCAATTGTCGGATGGTATACTGACAGAATACTTCTCAAAAAGCGCATACACCAAAAAAAAAAAAAAAAAAAAAAAAAAAAAAAGGGTGATTACCATACCATCTAAATCATTACATATATCATTGATAGCAATATACAACGGAGTAACTCATTTTTAAGATCTAATATTTATGGTACATATAGAGTTTGCATGAAATTGATTTCTTCTATACAGAATAATTAGTAGTTCAAGAAATGTTTCATAGCCCAAATCCCAACCATTAGAAAATTAGGGGTATTTTCAAAACATAGCATTCAAGAAATCTAGCAGCAGTTTATATACATACATATATATATATATATATATAGGTGGTACCTGATCCAAAACATATGATGGACCGTGAGTGGAATCGGGCATAAAGGCTGCTACGAAGACAGAGGCTGCAATCTTTTGTGGGAACTTGTCCATGGCAAGAGCCAAGTTCAAGCCACCAAGGCTGTGTCCCACAAGTATAACCCTTTCCTTACTAGGAATTGATTCCATCAACTCCAATAACGGTTGAGTGTAGTGGGATAGAGTTGTGACCTCATTTAGTATCTTCGGGTTGACCCCGGAAGCTGATAGGTCCAGGGCTGTGACGCGGTGGCCGGCAGACTCCAGCCGGTACTTTACCTTGTACCAGCTCCAAGCTCCGTGGCATGCACCATGTACTAGCACAAAGTGCTTTTGTTGCTCACCCACCACCTCCATTTTTTTTTGCATCTTCTCTGCACTTATGTTCCTCACTATATATATATATACCTGGAATATATAGTTGTTTACTGAAAAAATAAAAATGGAGGAGGAAGTCTTGAAGTCAATAATGTGTCGTGCACGAAGTTTTTTTTTTTTTTTTGTCTTTTTTTCTGAAAATTAAAGCAATTTTCATTAAGTAAAAACTTTACACAAGTTGGGCTTGGCCCATAAGAAAAAGCAATTTGAAAGTAAGAACGTTCAGCGCTAGTTGAAGGTAAGCAAGTTGAGCACGACAAAAAAATTTTGCTATGAGTCCGACACATATTTTTATTTTTTAAAATATTTAATTTAATTAATGTATTATAATTCAGTAATTCTACTTAGTGATATAAGGGACTCACTCAATATCTTCTCTATCAAGATTTACTAAAATAAACACATTCTTATTCGTAATTATGTGATAAAATACTATTAATTAATGACAGTTATTCATATATAAAGAAGATTTTTTCATTAGACTCTTACAAGTCCAAAATAAGTTAAATAAGTAGTTAATTGGAGGTTTGACCTTAATGTTATAATTAGTGTATTTGATTTTTGGTTTCAATCACGTCATGGGTCCAACCCACCATATCAAAATTAGGTATTTTTACCAAAGTGCAATGATCCTTCTAGACTAATTAGTAGTGCAAAGGTAGTCCACAACTACATGATATTAGTCGCTATAAGATTTTTTGCTCTAAAAAAATAATATCTCCTTTTAATAATTTTTTAAAAAAATGTGTATATATATTTTTTATGAGAGGTGTGCCTTTTGCTTAAGTAGTCTGATTGTTAATGTTGTTCTTTTGTTTTACTAGTTAAATTACATTTAATATAGAATTATATACTTTAAAATATTTACATCCTTATGTGAATTTGAATATATAATTTATAAACATATACTGGTTTGGTATTAAAATATAGGATAAATTTCACTAGGTTCATAAGCTTTTGATAAGTTTCATAATTTTACTTTTCTCTTTTGGATATATTTCTTATATCGTTGGACACACGGAAACTAACATAATCTACTAATATCAGCAGCAGAAAATTAATAAAAAGTCAATTTTGCTAGACTAACATAATCTACTAATATCAACAAAAGAAAATTAATAGAAAGTCAATTATTTTGCTCTTCTAATATCTGAAATGACAATAAATGTTTTATGTGCAAAATTATAAAACAACACACTGTCTTTTATCAAGTTAGACTTTTGTCTTTGATAGAGGAGATAAATAGAATTATGAAACATGGAAAAGTCTATATGAAATATTGACAAAAGGTAAGTGAAAATGAAAAAAAATTAAAAATTAAAAATAAAAATAACAAAAAAATAAAAATTTGTGGCCCAATTTAGGCTGGGCAAAAAGAAACCTGTTTGTCCTAAATCCTTATCCGAGGCACATTTAACATCCCTAACCGTTGAATGGTGGATGGTGCTGGTACACCTTATCTTGGATTAATTTGTTCCTCTTTTGGTTGACTATTATATTTAAGTACAAATTTAATTATCAAAACAATTTAAATATTATCAAAAAAAATTTAATATTATTGATTCATTAATTAGTTAAATTGTACTAAAGTAGAAATTTTTAAAGGAACATGGGAACCATATATTATTCTTGGAAAAGTTATTAATTTACCCTTTTAAGTTTTGAATATTCAAGTTTGAAATTTTAAATTCTAAAGATATATATAAAAAATTGTAAAATATATTATTTGAAAAAAAAAAAATGAACAATATATTTTGTTTTTTTTGTTGGGATAGATGGAATAATTTGTAAGTGACTTTGTTAGCCTTTTATCTCTTTTGATAAATATTGATAAGAAATGCCACTGAATTCCCTTAGCAATTGCAGTGCTCTATATATGTTTTTATTTATTTATTTATTTACAAATGATATAAATACACATTGTTCTTATGAAAATTTGAATCTTAAACTTACAAATTTGAAAGATATACAAGTCACCGATAACCATGCCCCCAGATTTAAAAATTGCTTGCAATATTAATTTTCATATTATAAAAATTTATTATTATTATTATTATTATTTGTAAAGGCTAACAGTGACGGAGTATGATTCTCCTTAATTTTCTACTAATATATATAGTTTATCTGAAAAAAATAAATAAATAAATTCTGATGATTACGACTTGGGACCCGATAGGATTACAAAAAATATATAGTTTATTCCGAAATAATATTAAATATATTTTAAAGCAGAAATATTAATTTTGGTTCAAGTCAAAGTAAATCGTGTTCAAAGAAATCAACCACGAGGATAGAAAGTGGACATTAAATAATTGACAGAAGAAGCGGAAATTATTGACATTATTCGTGTGTCAAAATTAAGTGTCTAAAAAGTCACCCTCACCCTCCTTACTTTTGTTATTAATGATGTTTAGGGTTAGGATGTTGAATTGACACTTTGAAATTATAATTGGTGCTCCAAACATAGCACATATTGTAACTAAATTTTTGCTATCAGTGAAAATTTGTTTGTTCGGTTTGAGAATAATTTTTTTTTTTTTTTAAATAAATCTCAAAAAATTGAGAATGTGCATCTATATTTTTTTTCTTTTCTTTTTTTGAGAATGTTCAAATTTCAACCAACTGGAATTTATGAGGTGAAAGTACATCTTATGTATATTGTATATAAGTATATATTAAAAGTTTGGTAAATATGAATTTAATTGAACTACCAAGTCATCTTTTTTATCCCTTACTAAACCAATTCAATGAGAAAGTAACTGGAGAGAATTTTTTTCTAAATAAAACTTACATTTGTTTTATATATCAAATGGTAAAATTTCGAATCAATTTTATAATTTTTGAGCTATTGCTGGTTTGAGTAAAAATACTTACGTTGGATGGATGAGGCATCCAACACCATTTTGCCAAGGGATGGATGCATGGTTGGTTGAGGTTGAGTAGATATTTTTAAATGCATTGAATTGTCCAAATTTGGTAATAGAAACAAATATATCCTCATTAATGAAATTATATATTGTTGAACCGTTAGCATGTCTATCTCGATTCTTGTCGGAGAATAATGACCCCAAAAAAAAAAGAAAAATCGAAATCTCCTTATTTTTTCACTGCTAAATTTTTGCACTTTAAAATGCGTTAATTTTCCGGAGTTCAATATAGCACCATGTTATATGTTATGACCCATCTAACCTTAATTTTAAAAATTAATAATTATTTTTCTCAAATACTATAATTACTCTTTTCAGTTATGGTAAAATTCTTTATTTGGTAATAGAAACAAATATAGTACTACTAATTCTATATTTGGAACTAAAAATTAAGAAAATAAAGAAATTGTAGTAGGGAAAAATAATACTTTTAAAAAGAAATTATATTTAGAATTTTAGATGAATACTATGCCATAGGATAATCCAATTTTAATTGTTTATTTGAAACAAAACAAATCGGACTAGAAAGAAAAAAGGAACAAAATATATTCTGATTAAAAAGTATTATCTTAATTGTGTATATTAAGATTTTAAAAGTTTTTTTTTTCTAAAACTGAATAACTCACTAAAATAGAATTTAGAGGTAGTCCCCACACAATGAGATATTTGACAAGACAAAGGACCACGATTCCATTCATTATAAAATGGTTCGTGAATATGACTCATGATACACAACTTGATTTAGACTCTATTATTTTTCTTTTATAATATTATATATGTGTGTGTGTGTGTGTCATGCGATTATAGTTGCATAGTTGAACCCACTAAAGCTTCGTTTCATGTAATCATATACCATAGTATTTCCGCTCAGAATTTAACGAATCTGCTGCTTTTGTTGATAATGGAAATTATTGGTGTGTTTTCATTATCATCCAATGGAAGAGAAAATAAAAAAAATAAAATAAAACAGTATCGTCCAATTTGTTTATATATATATATATATATATATATATATATATATATGTGGTACGACAATGATTATATTTTATAGGAAATGTCACATCAACGATCGTAAAACTTGACGATCAATCCCGGCAATTAAAACTCACTAAGGCATGCTATTCATATTGGAAATGAGTTACATATTTTTCAAATTAAAAAGGAGTTGGCGGATCCCTTCCCATGCAGAGAGAACGGAGATCATTTCATACGAATTGGCCTTAAAAAATTTCGCAATTTTCAGCGAGCATTACTTTAAAGTCATAATAATTATATGCCATCTCTGTAGCCAGACATAAAAGATAAGACATTTCTAACCCTTAAATTTATGTTCCTTGAAGGACAATATTTAAGAATATCTCTCAGAAATATCTTGCAAACAATTGCAAAGCTGTGTGGGTTTGGAGAGCATGACCATATGGTCAGCTCCTGCTATGGATTTCACTTCTTTAGGTTTGTAATTCTGAATCAGCCATAACTGATATTCTTTCACCATCACTTCATCTTCTTCGCACACGATATAAACCCTAGCGATTGATCCATATTTCTCTTTTGTTAGTAGAGATTCCTTGGCCATGTCTCCCATAAACAACCCACCTGGCCTTACCAGCATCTTGGCTAATTCCAAATCCTGCACGTGACCAAAATAATGAGCAATTCTTAGCTGGTCATATATATATATATATATATATATATATATTGGGATATATAAATTTCTTTGCTAGTGATTTATTCACATAAATTTGCTTGATTGATACACTCACCTCCAGTTGACAATGTTTATAAGCCTTAGTTGCCATATAATCTGGACCAAAAATTACCGAAGTCGGAGGACCCTCCGGCCCTTGATCAAACGTTAATCGGCTATCCATAAGAGACTCCGGTGAGGTCCTCCTAAAGAACTGTTTACCAAAATAAAACACTATATAATGAGAAGGATAGTACTATTCAAACCTAATCGTAAAATTGAGGGAAATAAATATTTTTTTATAACTATATATATATATATATATTCTTACTTCTTGCATGATAGATGATGGAGGACCATCAAGATTAGGCATGTAGGCTGTGATGAAAACTGCAAGTGAGATTTTCTCGGGAAAGCTCTCCATGGCTAGAGAAATGGCCAGGCCACCATAACTGTGACCAACAATGACCACTCCCTCATCATGAGGTAGGGAGGCCATGAAGTCCATCAACGGTCGTATGTAGTCCGATATGGACGCGATCTCGTGGATTGGCTTCGGGTCCACCCCGGAAGCGGCGAGGTCCAAAGCAGTGACACGGTGACCGGCCGATTTGAGCAGGTTGACAAGCTTGTACCAGGACCAAGCTCCATGGCAAATCCCATGAACTAGAACAAAGTGCTTGCCAATCTTCTCCATTAATTCTGGTTCTGTTTTTTTAGTTAAAGTCTTCTGGTTCTATTTAAAGGCGCTAATTAGTTTTTTTTTTTTTTTTTTCCGCAATTTATATTATGGTTTTTGAAGGTTTTGAATACGTTAAAAAAGAGGTGTGCAAAAGTATTTGAATTTGAATACTGTGGGCGGTACTGAACATGTAAGTGAAAAAATATATATATAATTATTAACAATATTTAAGTTTTCACTAATAAAGATTTATATATATTAAATTATTATCTCTGATTTGATAGGTGGGTATCTACCCACTATATTTAATTTGGTAATTAAAAATGACATATTTATTTATTATTGGTCCACATCAATATAGAGTATGGTGAGATATTGTTCATTATTACTTACGTGTTCAATAATTAATGATTCAAAATTATGTAATAATTTCTCAATTAATTAATTTTGGTGCACCAAGCTTCATATTGTGAGGTTTTTATTTTTTATTTATTTATTTTTTTTTTATACATGTTTATTAAGTTTTTGATAGGTCCACCATTTTTAGGGGAGTACGTTTTTATTGGATTAGCCGGGTAATATCAATTTTCTGTAAAATAAAGACAAATTTATAGAGGGCCACACGAAAGCTTATAAATTTGGCAAGAGAGTGACTTTTGATATAATTTTGTATTGTAAAATAAATATGTTTTGGTACATATAAATAAAGAATAATACTTAGTCTTTATAAGTGAGAATTCATCACATATAATATATATATGCTAATTGTTATTATGGATCAATAGTAAATAAATATATTATATTTTAATTATAAAATAGGTAATAAAAATATAATTCTAATTTGGTATGGGAGTATGTACTCAACAATTTTGATTTGATCATTAAAGAAAATATATTTATTTGTTATTGGTCCAAATTAATTGTTTACTTGTTGGTGATGGCCTAAATATTTTTCATAAAAAAAAAAAGTCATTTTAGGATAACACTTGCCTACTCACCAATAAGTAAATTATGGCGAGGTCTACTTCATCTACTTGCTTAAAGTCTTCTTTTTCCTGACTGTTGATATGGATTATCAATAAATTCATACATTTTCTTTAATTACCGAATTAAAATGTCTAGTGATTTTATAATTAAGAAAAACTTATCCCATTTATTATTTGTCCAATCAAAGATCAGAATAGAATAGAATCAATAGGTCATTAGATCCTCACAAGCCAGTGAGCGAGGATCCAAATATTATCCAATAAATGATGTAAAAATTGCTGACAACTCCTTTAAGTTTTCATTTTGTTGCTTACGCCTCTTATATAGGCGTTCTTAAACTAATCATTAATGGACCTCCGTAGTGTGTCTGTGTTATACAAAACAGCATATTTTATTTTATTTTTTTGGACCAACACAACATATATGACGAGGTATATATAGTAATTAAATATATCCAAATGTTACATGAAGTCAAACATATTTTAGTCAATAATAATGGATTAATAGTGATTTAAAACTAAAATTATCATTTTTCGTCCCTTTTCCAATAATTAGCAAATGGTAAGGAAAAATTACAAATATTCTGGAAAGTTAAAGTGTTTTTATTTTTTCATAAATTAGGAGTACAAAGAGGTTATCTGGATTTTTTTTTTTTTTTTTTTTGTTTAGAAGTGGTAGTAAAATAAAACTTCAAAGTAGTTTTGTCTTTTTTACAAGTACATGTTTCATCTGACTAATGAAAAGCAAGTGAGCTGTCCAACGGATAAGACTTGCAATCCACCACAATTATAACTACCGACAGCCCTTGGAAACTAGGGCAAAAATCCTCTCCTGCTCCCGTTCCCTCCCATTCGAATAGGATGTGTGGTTCAGGTTGGGCCACGTCAATTAAAAAAAATAATAATAACAAAAGTTTAACTACGTATGAATAAATAGTGTATATATATATTTCATGTATTTTTTAAAATAATTCGTAATTATCCGAATAAAGAATTTTATCAAAATATCCTTATTTTATATTTCAAAAAGTTTAAAATGCCCTTATCATTTTCCTTCCCAAATTTTTTAGGTGGTGAAAGTGGAAGTGGAAGTGGAAGTGGAAGTGGGGAAGGCAGGTGAAAATCTGAACACAGAAGTGGGGAAGGCAGGGGAATCTGAAGAGAAAAGAGCTGAATCTTTGGTAGTTGCTTGTGAACTTGGTCTTCATTCGTTCGATTTGGTGCTTATACTGGAAATTTTAGGTTGATCAAATCAACTTAGTCTTTATTTGGGTGTTGATCTGGTTAGATCGTCACTCCCCAAAATCAGATAAAATTGGTTTCCTTTTCTTCTTATCTGATATTATTTTGCTTGTTGTAGTTTATTTTCAGTTAATTTTTTTTTTTTCGTTTTTTGTGTTTATACTTCAAATTTTGTTGATAATTGATGCAGGGGTTGTTGGTGCATATTAGAGGACTGGTCGTTTTATTTGTTTCTGTTTTTATTCTTATTTTCTATCCTTTCAACTACTGTAGTTAATTTGATTCATTTTATTGTTGCGGAGGTGGTTGGTGCAAAGGTATTGTAGTTTATTTCCAGTTAAATTTGTGTTCGTTTTTGGTGTTTATACTCAAAATTTTGTTCATAATTGATGTAGAGGTTGTTGATGCATATTAGAGGTCTGGTCGTATAAATTGTTTCAATTTTTAATCTTATGTTCTATGCTTTCAATTCTTGTAGTTTATTTCCAAATAATTTGGTGATCCTTTTGGGTGTTCATATGAATTATTGTGGGTTTATTGTTGTAGAGGTGGTTGGTACATTGAAGCACTCGAATTTTGTGTCCTTTTAAATACACAACAATCTTCTTCTCTCTATTGAAAGCTTTGCTTGTTTGGTTACCTTGACTCCACTTTTTTTGTTAAATTTGGTGTAAATCGCAGAAGTTTGTTGTGGTGTTGTGGTGTTTTAGAGTTTGAAATGGCTAAAATTGAGGCGTCAAAAAAATAAGCACAAAAGTCTTGCATTTGGGTTTCTGAAGTTTTGCCAACTATGGCCAAATTGTTTCTTACTTTTTTGCCATGAGTTGCGGTATTCTATGGTTTCATCCCTCCATTGACATTTTGCTGTTTTTGATGCAGGAAACGCCTCTTCAATATCATAAAACGATCTTCAAACAATTTTTGAAGTTATGACAAGGGCAACGAAGAACGAGCAAAGGCATCAGTTTCAAGTCACAATGGAAATAAATTTAAATCTAGTGCCAAGGTAGAAAAATGATCACTCTTCGACTTTCTTTAGTTCTATCACATAAATTGAAATCATAGGTTAGTAGTGCTGGTTTGTTATTTATGTTGCTTAAATGGAGAGACTGGTTTAATGTTCATGATGATAGAAAGTACCTTAAGAATACTATTCCAATAATAATTTTAGCCAGTCGATTAGAGACTCGTGATTTTCACTTATGGTAAGGATGAATGTTCGAAGAGATTTTTAGGTTGCTTGGAAATCATGGCATATGGTAGGCATATATAACCTTTTTTGAAGAGAACCTTAATTTTCATTATGAGGTTAAATTTATCCATATTTAGCCTTCTTTCGGTTGTAGTTGCTCTCTATGTCTTGTTTCTTAATTTAATAATTAAAAATTCAATATTGTAGCATTCAACATTTGCAATCATATCATCATTTGATCATTTGGTTCAGTGGTTTGCAGTAAGATATGACGACTGCAACTCAGCCCTTTAATGGCAATTTAAAGGCTAAACTTCTCTTGTTTTTTTCACATTATATTTTTATCTTTCTTTTTCAATCTTATATTTAGTTAGCAACTTCATTTGGTTACTGAGAAACCAGTAGAAAGATTATAAAAAGGAAATCTAAATTTCTTTCAATTCCTAATTCTTTGGTTTTCCGGTGAAAGGAAAAATAAATCAGCAAGTTAGTACTGTTGTTTCATTTATTTGGGTAAGCTTTCTCAGCCGTCAAGGAAGGATAAAAGTGTTATCATTCAATTACTCATGGAATTAAGTTCATTAGAAAAATATGTATTGAATGACTTGTTTGACTATATGTTGTAAACTAATTAAGATTGTATTTATATTTTCAACTTCCTTCTATTTTTATTATTTATTTTTTTGTATACTGGTTGCATTGCATTAGTTTTGTTCAATGAGTTGATTTTAAGTTTGAGAGCTAATTCACATAAAATATAATTTTGGAGCCTATATCGTACAGGCACTGCTAGTATCGAATGTATATATATTGTTTCAATTCTTCAATCATTTCTTTTTTAAGCGTTTAGAGCAAGACTAATTTATGCACCAAATTTTTTTACTTTACTCTGGATAACAAATTTGTCACTTTCTTTGCTTAAGGTTTTATTATTTGATTTATAATAAGATTGATGGTAGCATTATTATTATTATTATTATTATTACTATTACTATCATTATTTTAATTTATTCGATAAATGTTACATCAGTGGCTCCATGTATATAGAATTGGAGAGTATATATATGTTATCAACATAGGTAAACAGGTTTCCTTATTTAATATATATTTTTTTAAGATAGTTCTTTTGTAGAAAACTAAGTCTGTCAAAAAAAAAAAAATCCAAAGAAATAGTTTTCTTCCTCTTTTTTTTTTTTTTTTTCAATTTTAAAATTAAGTATTCATTCTTGTTTGCATTTTTATGCAAATTTTTATCAGTTAATTGCTGAATGTAATATTAACTCTATATTAGTTACCATTTATTTTCTTCTTTCACTTTTTTTTTTTAATTCTAAAATTAATGTGTTCATTCTTGTACGGATTCTTATGAAGCAACAAAATTAGTTAATTGGTACACGTAATATTAACTTCAAGTTTCTTTCATGCCACCTTTGATTTCTATTGCGTGCATTAATTTGTATTTCATATTTTGATTTCTTTTGCATGTGTTTCATTTCTTAGATTTACATATCATTTTTTATTTATTTATTTATGTTAGTGTTTGATTCCATCTATGATGATTTTTGTTAAATGTCTCTCATACCATATTTTGATTTATATCTCGATGTATTAAAAACTTTGGTATTTGAATTACCAGTACTATAAATTGAATTACCAGTCAGTTAAAACTCAATATCATGATTTTTTTTGTGCAAATAATGTTAAATAGTAGGTATTTTTATGATCAATGTCTATCCCTTTTAAAACCTTCTATTAACATGGACTACATTAGTTTCAGGCATATCATTTGTTGTTAGTTACCAACAAAATGATCTTTATATGCTCAGTCTCGTGTGTGTGTGTGTGTGTCATATTCATGGATATTAGTCTTGATAGCTAACCATTTTAGATTTTAAATGGACGACGATATGGGAATGTTATGGTGCAATAGAGCAAATACTTGGACTTGAGCAAAAAATTTAATCAGAGATCGGCATATGTATCTCCAACATTGTTCTAGGAATCATGATGCAAAGTTTGTAAAGGGTGGTACGGTAACTAAGATTCTAAACTTATATTAAGAGTACTAAAAATTTATAATTTTTAAATTTAAACTGCAAATTAAATTGTTATAATTGCAGGTAGATTGGATTGTCTACAACACTAGATGGTCGGTATTCCTACGTACAAATGGAGTTGAGCTACAATAAGAAATTATTCATGCACATGTTGGCATTAATGCCATGTATATTTATTTATTTATTTATTTATTTATTATTATTATTATTATTATTTACGTATAATTGAAATTTTTATTATACAATTACGTTGTGATATATAGAACAAATAATTTTAAAACATGTTACATTTAACTTGGGATGTATTCTATCCATATTAATGTGTTCTAGTGAAGAGCATTCATTCTTGGTTTATGTTGGGAATTTAATGAATAATTATAATTTCACATACTTCAGTTTTAATTTGGGATGTATGTTTTCAATTAAGATTGATTTAATTTGTCTTCTTAAAATGTAATCAAATGTGATTTTTATTTGGGATGTGTGTTTTATCTATGAAGACTGTAAACCGTGTTCAAGTAAAATAAGAGGTGATTCTTTCTACAATTTTGTTGGGATTTATTGTACGATATTTGATTATCATATATTACATTTAATTTTGGAATGTATATATCTCCATGATGTTCTTGTGTTGACGTGAAATAAAAGATGATTCATTTTAGGTTATCGTTGGGATTATATTAACTATAATTTGACACATATTATATATATATTATGGGATACATATTTTTCATGATGAATAATTAAATGTGTTCAAAATAAAAAATCAAAAATGATTTTTTGAAGGAGAAATAAATGGTGATTCAGTTACAATTATTCATGGAATTTAGTGCATTCCATTGGTAAGATAACGAAAAATTAACAAAGTTAGACTCAAGATTTACTTGATTCAGAGTCTACATGAAGAAGATATGAAATCTCAAAACTTAACAAAACTGTGAAAACAGGGATGTCAATACAACCAAGCTAACCTAAACAAATGTACTAGATTGTTTGGGATGTACAAATGTATTTGCATAAGAAATTGTCTTACAAATTTATTGGGATGTTTTCTATAAATTATTACGGACATTAGTTATAAAAATAGAAGGATAAATAGAACATATGTATTTGCATGAATGTATCACTTCAGAGTTGTATTTTGATTATTTTCCTTTGGGTCTTGGAAATTATCTAACAAATTTATTGAGATGTTTGTTATAAACTATTAACGACATTAGCTATAAAAATATAAGGATAAATAGAACATACGTATTTGCATAAATGGATTACTTGAGAGTTTTATTTGGATTATTTTCATTTAGGCCTTGGAAATTGTCTTACAAATTTATTAGGATGTTTTCTATAAACTATTAACGACATTAACTATAAAAATTTAAGGATAAATAGAACATATGTATTTGCATAAATGGATCACTTGAGAGTTGTATTTCGATTATTTTTCTTTGGGCCTTGAAAATTGTTTTACAAATTTATCGGATATTTTTTATAAACTATTAACAACATTAGTTATAAAAATATAAGGATAAATAGAACATATCTATTTGCATAAATGGATCACGCCTTGGAAATTGTCTTACAAATTTATTGGAATATTTTTTATAAACTATTAACGACATTAGCTATAAAAACATAAGAATAAATAGAACATACGTACTTGCATAAATGGATCACTTGAGAGTTGTATTTCGATTATTTTCCTTTAGCCTTGGAAATTGTCTTGCAAATTTATTGGAATATTTTTTTATAAACTATTAACGACATTAGCTATAAAAATATAAGGATAAATAGAACATATCTATTTGCATAAACGGATCACTTGAGAGTTATATTTGGATTATTTTTCTTTGGGCTTTGAAAATTGTCTTACAAATTTATTATGATGTTTTCTATAAACTATTAACGACATTAACTATAAAAATATAAGGATAAATAGAACATATTTATTTGCATAAATGGATCACTTGAGAGTTATATTTCGATTATTTGCATTTGGGCCTTGAAAATTGTCTTACAAATTTATTGGGATGTTTGCTATAAATTATTTCGACAATAGCTATAAATATATAAGGATATATAGAACATATATATTTGCATAAATGGATCAGTTGAGAGTTGTATTTGGATTATATTCCTTTGGGTCTTGCAAATTGTCTTACAAATTTATTGGAATGTTATCTATAAATTATTAACGAAATTATCTATATAAATATAAGGATAAGTACAACATATGTATTTGCATAAATGGATCAGTTGAGAGTTGTATTTGGATTGTATTTTCCTTTGGGCCTTGGAAATTATCTTACAAATTTATTGGGATATTTTCTATAAATTATTAACGACATTAACTATAAAAATATAACGATGAATATAACATATCTATTTGTATAAATTGATCACTTGAGAGTTGTATTTCGATTATTTGTATTTGAACCTTGGAAATTGTCTTACAAATTTATTGGGATGTTTGCGATAAATTATTTACGACATTAGCTATAAAAATAAGTGAACTTCCAAATTCCACCCCCAAGGAGTTGTAGAAAAAAGTAAGTGAACTTCCTTATCGGGGAGTATGACATAATACTTTTTTGTTTTATGTGGTTCACAATTTATAATGTATGCAATGGAAAAAAAAAATCATTTTCTCTATAATGGAAACAACAATGTCTGTCTTGCACCTGTGTTCAATGGTTCAATATCACAAATTATACATGTCTCCAATGTGAAAAAAGAATCCACACATTATGTCACATCACCATATATAAGAGCATAACATATATGGCAAAAATTGATCCTACCATCACACTCTGCCAAAAAAAAAAAAAAACAAAAACAAAAACAAAAAAAAAAATGAAAGAAAAAAAAAATCATTCTCTCTATAATGGAAATAACAACGTCTGTCTTGCACCTATGTTCAATGGTTCAATATCACAAATTATACATGTCTCCAATGTGAAAAAAAGAATCCACACATTATGTCACATCACCATATATAAGAACATAACATATATGGCAAAAACCGATCCTACAATCACACTCTCCAAAAAAAAAAAAAAAAAAATGGAAGAAAGAAAATAAGTTATTACATTTAATTGTCACAAGAATATAAAAATGATGAACATAAGTCGTATATGTGACTATCACACTAGAAGAAAAAAAAAAGAAATGAATAAAGATTACACTAGTAAAGGGTCAATACCTTTAGAAGAGTCCATATACTTCAGCATGGAAAGTCATAGTGATGCTTGATATATTAACTATTGTACCTTCCTTTGATTCGTATACAAAAGAGTTTGAGCTCTTAACCTGCTAAATTTTGGATTTTATATACCAAAAAAAAAAAATTATATAGTTTGTAAAGAGTTATAAAATACATTAGTAACATGTTACTTCAGAAAGAGATATGGAGTATATAAAATTTCAATGTAGAAAATGAAACAAAGGTATATAAGAAATATTTATTCTAAACAATCTAAATAAAAATCGACAAACAAACGAGACATGTTGGAAGATGAGAACCAAACCTATCACGCCCCAAGACCATAGGATGCGATTAATAAGGTTAAAAGCAAAAATTAGAATAGCAGCGCTCAACTAAAGAAAAATTTTGATCAGCGGTTAGGCAAACTAAAATTCTTTCGAAGCTAGACTTAGAGTAAAACGTGACTGAGCCATTCCCAGATGCTGGAAATACACCAATGAAAACAATTTTTAGAAGGGAGAAAGTTTTCACAGCTTGTGCTGAAATCCCACCAAGTGTCGAACTTTGGATTGCTTGAAAGCGACCTTTGTTTCTAGAAATTAGAAATAAGAAATAACAAAATTGGAAAGTTACATAATTTAACGATGACAGGAAGTCCGTCAAATCATTTTCTCAAAATCAGTCCCCAAACTGTTTAGTCAATGATTTTTATAGAAATATCCACCAGTCCAAAAATTATCAAATTTTACAGAAAGACTTTAGGCAGAGAGGGGAATGTATGGTAAAAATTTCGTAGCATACAGCCCTGATAAAAAATTCGTTTCCAAGCAAGAACTAGAGAAATTTTAAAATAGAATTTTAGAAAACTCCAACGGTTGCAAGAGTTAAAGACTTTCCTCCAACTGACCATAGATGATAACTTACCCCAAAACCAAGATAATGAAAGTTCCATAACAACTAAAAGAGTATATAGCTAACAAGCTAGAGCATATTTAACGCAAATCAATGGGAGGAACAATTATAAAAGGTACTATCTTTTTAAAATCATTTATTGATAATATCTCCTCATAGGTGTATTGACATATCTAAGATCTTAAATTAGAAGTTTAAAACTACAAACATGTTAAGTTATTTATAATTACCAATCATAATTCTCAATTATTATTACAAATGGTTTACAACATTACCTTACAGGAATAGAATGAAAAATTTATTCTAAGATATTAAATTGGAAGTTTAAAACTATAACCATGTTAACTTATTTCTAATTACCGATCATAATTGTCAACTACCATTACAAATTGGAAAGAACCCTGTAAATTACTACGATTCAATAATATTAAACAGAATTTAAGACGATTCAATAATATTAAACCTCTGAGTTTGAAAAGGGATGGAGAGAACCTTTGGAAAGAACCCTTTAAGAACCTTTTCTCAAACCTTTGGAAAGAACCCTGTAATTTACCAAACAAAACTAATGAAACATAATTTAATACGATTCAATCATATTAGACCTCTAAGTTTGGAAAGGGATGGAGAGAACCTTCGGAGAGAACCCAGAAAACCTTTGGAAAGAACCCTGTAAATTTGGAAAGAAGAAAAGTTAGGACAGGGATGGAGAGCTCTGACTTTCTTTGAAGAAAAAAAATTTTCTTTCTATACTTTGGGAGAGAAGAAAAAAGAAGAGTGGCACTGAAATTTAGGATGTTCAAATTGAATTTTCAAATTGGCGCTGAAATTGAACAGTGAAGTACTATGATTTCGTATATGTGTGTGTATATATAATTTTGTATATGTGTATATATATATTTAATATCGTATATTTTCATAATATCTATTTTTACCAAAACACTATTTTTCTATCTTTTACTGCTGCTACAGTACGAACAGGGGGGAACAGATTCTCCTGTTCCGTAGGAGAGGATTCTGGTCCTGGAAACTATGTCTATTGAATTAATGAAAAATATAACATAATTAATTGAGATTTAAAAGAGTAGTGTTACATCTCGATTTCACTGTGTTACGTATGTATACAATACATATAGGTTTTAAATTTTTAATTCATAACATTTCTTTTCGTACATTTTTTATTTTTTTATTTTTTTAAAATTCTATTCAACTTATAAAATATACAATTTTCGTGTACCTATAGGCATTACCAAATATTTTTAGTGATATTTTCTCATAAAAGTATTTAATAAATGTAATATAAGTTGTAATAATGTTTCATAAGATCCTTCTTTATTAGTTTTTAATCAATTAGTGTTGCTAATAATTTTTATATAAGATAAGCTTTTACTTTGTTTTTATTCTAATAATAGTATTTAATCTTGGACAATATTTAGGTCCTCACCGTGAGGATTTACAATATAATCATCGTTAATGTGGACCAATAATAAATTGACATGCGATCTTTGATCACTAAATCAAATATGGTGAGTAAATATTCACTTATTAAATTAGAGATAGTGATTTGATTGCTACAATATTTGATTTGATAATTAAAATATAACATGTTTTATATTGGTTTACATTAGCCATGGGTAAATATTGTATATCCTTACTAGTGAGGACCTAAATATGATTTGGAGAAAGTTTAACTCAAAAAAATTATCCATAACGTTGATTTGTGCCGCAAAAACATAAATAAAATGTTCTCCCAATCTCTCAACAATGCATCTAATGGTGCACATTTATCGAAATGAAGTGAGGGAATTATTTTATTTGTTTCCAAAAAAAATTAATAATACACCCTCCATCCCAAAATAAATGTCATACTTTCCTTTTTTGTCTGTCCCAAAATAAAGGTCTGTTCGCTATTTAGCGCTTAAGCACATTTTTAAAATTAGCGTGTTTGATAACATTTAGGTTACCACTTAAAATGTTACGTAGTAGTTTAAAATAGACCAAAATTTTAAACCTCATGAACCTTAACGCTTATCGCATAAGACAGTAAGTGATTTTAGGTTTTAAAATATTTTTTTAATGACAATGTTACCATCAAATATTATATTTTTATGTTCTTTATCACTTTTTCAACTCTTGAAATTAAACGTATTAATGATACTCTTGAAATTAAACGTATAACGTATTGATTTCTATTCCCTTCGGATGATTTTTTTTTTTTTAATTTACTCCAATTTCTCATATGTTTCATTGCATTTTTGTTCTCAAATAATGTAAATATAATAATACTCAAAATATATATATATATATACTGTATGATTCACTAAAATTTGTAATCAACAATCATGCGATGAAACCCTCACACCATTGTTATGATGCAAATCTACTATAGAAATAAAAATCGAATAATTTGTGCATGAATTCTAATCTCCTTCTTATAAATATTTAATTTTCATAAGTTATTCATTTTATATGGTGATTTTGAAAATTTTATGATCAGTTTTGACATTAATATCAATTGTTAAATTGATATATTTATTTGGTAAAATTCATTATTTTATATATATGCTTATGTTTTAATATAATATCTTTTATAATAATATTATATGTAGAAGATATTCAAGACAAAAATGTAATATATACAACATTCAGATTTCAGCTTTTGCATTTAACAAACAATCTTAATGAATTCAACGTTTCAAATTAATGCAATATTAAACAAGTTTACAGATTAATATATTCAGCACTTAAAATTTCAGAGCTTAAAATTCAATACTTGAAATTATCAGTGCTTAATTTTCAGTTTTATAAAACAGCACTTATGTGTCCATTTTTTTTTTGCAAATAATATATTTCACATCTTCCATATATGTCATTTGAGTTTAAAATTTCAAATTTGAATATTCAAACTTAAAATGGCAAGTTAGTAATTTTTTAGACAGACAATGCATGTCTCACATGTCCTCTTAAAAATTATTACTTCCCATAAATGACACTTAAATTGGGACAAAGGCAGTAATAATTAGAGCCACAAACAATAATATAGGCGGCCAAAACAACTGCAAAGGGCAAATGGGTCTACCCAAGCACAAGGACTGAACCCAATAAAGACGCCCAGTTAACAACACAGATCAGTCTGTGGGCCCAAGCCCAAAGGACACTCAATTTGTTTTTATTCTTTTTATTTTTTGTCGTAAAAGATATTTTGTTTTGTATAACCCTGAAAGTGTTTCGGAAATAGCAATCAAAACACCAATTTAGGCTATGTTTGGCGTGGCTTCTGGAGGCTCCAAAACGGGCTTCTAAGCCTAGGAAGGAATTCTAAAAAAAAAGTGAGTGTTTGGTAAATATTTTTAAAGGGACTTTCTTATAAAGCCCAACTCTTCAAAAGTCCGTTCTACGAAACAACAAAATGAGACTTCTCAAATTCACTTTACGAAAGTTTTAAGTGATAAATATTGTTGTTACAATTTTGACCTTATAAATTATAATTTTTTTCCAAATTAACCTTCATTCTCAATTTTATTACAAGAGGAATCTATGTCTGCTAGAGGAGATGACAAACTTATAGGAAAAAGAAAATTCGCATGAAGCGCGCTTTCCTTTCTCGCTGGAGTTCCGCATAGTTACTCAGCCTACAAGTGTTTGGATTTTTGCCAAAAAATACTATGTATTTAGGATTTTGAAGATGAATTTGAGTATTGCTACACTCCTAATTATAGAATTTTTCATCAAATTATTCATTCCCAATTTGCCACTGCCCTAGAATCCATTATCGAATCATTGTTTATGTAAGTTCACCTCTATCAATCTCTAGATTTTCTTTGACCAATGAAGAGTTTTGGCATATTTCGTTTTCTATGGAAAGTTTTAAAATTTCTATGGAATATGCAGGGAAAAAATTCCTATGGAATATGCTCACGAAAAAAATTCATAGGCGGGCAAAAACAAGTCATACAAAAAAATTTCGTATGGAATAGGTGGGCAAAAAAAATTCCGAGAGAAAATTTAGTATTAACATTCCTATTCAACAAAATTTCCAATTCGCTAAATACTATAGCTATATATATTATCTTTCTCCCTTTCAATCTTTCGTAGCTCTTTCAATTTCTGCAAATTCTCTACACGATTCATATGTTGCAAAACTCGGACTCATATTAGACATGATTTTTTAAGTGCATCATAGCACAATTCATTCATTTTGCAAAATTATTCTCATTGTTGTTGAATATGTTATTTTCCTTCTATATTCAAGACATGAACTTTTCAGTCAATTTGATGTTGTGAAGGTGTATTGTCACATATTATCTCCTCTTTCTTGCAAGTTATCATCATTGGATTTTTGTCAAGGTGTTTATATATTGATCTATTTGGAGTTGAATTATATAGCACTTTATGGTTTTTCTAATTTCAAAGTTGTAGAATTTGGAACATGTCTCTATTTATCAAAAATAATAATAATAATAATAATAATAATAATAATAATAACAATAATAATAATAATAATAATTGATATGTGTCTTTGTCTTTGTAATTTGTTGCAATTTGACTGATTTGTCAAACTTGATAGTGTGTCCGAAAAAGAAAAAAAACTTGACAGTGTGACAAACTTTATTTATTTATTTGATAGATGCTGCTGCGCTGTTTTTTTTCTTTGTGGTTTTCGATGCCTTGCGAGTTCACTGCCTCATTGGGTAAATGTCTTGTGAGGGCCGTGAGACCTGGTTTTGGTTCAATATCTTTGTGATGTCATGGACAGTTTGGGAAAGCTATCACGCTGTGATCTAATTCCTTCTAGCTAAAGGATGGGATTCATTCTGCATGTTCATTTCTTCATTCTATTCATTTTTTGTTGTTTTCTCTGTACTGTGTCTTTAGTGTTTGGTGTATATGTGCCTAGTGTGGGCCGTGTGGTTTTTTGTTGGTGTTTTTATTGGTTGTCAATGTGTCTTGCGTTTTGGTAAGGGAAACTTTAATGCCTTGATTCTCCCCTGTATTTATTGAACTATTTTATATAAAAAAAATTCTCCATTTAAGAAAACAAAAATACCATCTGTTGTGGATAAACTTTATAAATAACAAGGTGATTAAATATTGATAAATCTGCACCAATAAATAGTTCAAAGATTGATACTTCTTCTCTTTTGATTTGTTGTTTTATTGAAGTTAAAGGTTATTTTAATTCTTTATAGATTATTGATTTATGAAATGAACTCTTATAATGAGGACATAGGAAATGGGGGCAACTTTAATTCTTTTTATTTTTTTGTATTCATCTATGTATTTATGGATGTGTCATGTATTACATGTTAGCTTATTACTGTGCCTAATTTGCTCAAAAACATGCATGTTGTACCATGCATTTTGATTGTCCAAGCTAATTTGTTATATTAACTTATAGATGGCAAATAATGAAATAGATGGGTTATCAATGCAAAGTCAAAAGAGTGAAAAAAAAAAAACAAGAAAAAGCAATTTGGAATAATGAGTTGCATAGTATTTTTGTACAATTAAGCTATGATCAAATGTTAAAGGGAAATAAAAAAATAAAAAATAAAAAGGGACTTTCCTTAGTAAGGTAGGATGGAATTATGTACTGCAAAACTTTCAAAGGAGAATTGAAAAAAAAAATATGACAAAAAACATCTGAAAAATCATTGGGATAGTACAAAGAGTGAATGGAAGATATGGTATAAACTGAAATAGGTAGAGACTGGGCTTGGATGGGATTATGAAAAAGATACAGTCGTGGCTAGTGACGATCAGTGGGCTAATTACTTGCAGGTATATACCTTTTTCTTTTCTTTCTTTCTTTCTTTTTTTTTTTTTTTTTTTAATTATATGAATATACATGCACTTTTTTGTAATTATATGTTATGATAAAAATTATTTGACGTTTGGTGAGCTAATTACTTACAGGTATATACCTTCTTCTTTTTTTGTTTAATTATATGAATATGTATGCACTATTTTGTAATTATATGTTATGATAAAAATTATTTTGTTAACAGGTCAATACAGATGCAACAAAGTTTCATGAGAAGGGAATTGAACACTCTTACCAATTAACAGCTCTATTTAAAGATGAGATAGCAACAGGTAATTCGGCTTATGAACCTTCACAAGGAACTTTACCAGAAGATAATGCTGGACCTTGTCGAATTGAGCAAGATACACAGGATACTCAAGAAGAGATGGACGTAGATACTATATTTCATAATGAAGAAGAACATAGGGAATGTGATAATAATCAAGAAACTGGTGGTGTTAGGGAGAATGATGCATGGTACACGTAAAAAATCAGAGGATTTCATTCTGCCACCTGAGAAGCGTCGAAAAGTGACTCCGGCAACTACATGAACAACATGCTTGAGAGAATATGCAATGCGCGCAGTTGAATCAAGGGCAACAAATTCTAACAGTGCTGGCGAAAGTAACATAATCAAGGAGTGCATAGATTTGTTGAACCAAATGACAGAAATATCAAATGGAGGAGATCTTTACATGTTTGGTTGCGACACTTTGCTCTTACAAAAAAAACTACGAGTTATTTGGCACTCAGAGAGCATGAGTTACGCATTAGTTGGCTTCAAAATCAACACATGGCTTCTAAGACATCCCATCCATAGTTTTTTTTTTTTTTTTTTAGTTTCAAAATTACCATGATGCAATTTTTATCATTAATTTTTTTTATTTTTATTTTTATTTTTTTTTTATAGAAATTGATAGTTTTAAGATACTGGAATGGTTATTTGAGGTTGTTATTTTTATTTTTATTTATTAATGGAAATACTTTATTTTAGACTTTTTGAATGTGTGATACATGTTCTTATATATTATTTGTAATTTATAATTTGTATATTCATTGTGATAGTTAAGCATGGATTCAGACAATAATTTTCAATATGATGACGAATTTGATGAAATGGTGGCGGATGCATTGTTGGGTGTTGCAGTTTGTGTTTCGACTAATTACCATACCACCTATATTGTGAAAGAATCATGTAGAAATTCGAATTATACATGACATCAATTTGTAATGGAAGTAATAGTTGGACATCATAAGCATTGTCATGAGTTATTTCGCATGGAAAAGCATGTATTTTTACGGCTTTGTCAAGAGCTCAAACAAAGGGATCTATTAAAAGATAGTCGTGAAATTTCCGTGGAGGAGCAAATGGCCATATTCCTGATGACAATTGGCCATAATGAAATAAATAGGATGCTGCGTACAAGAACGATTTCAACACTCTGAGACTATTAGTAGGCATTTTAATACAATTCTAAAAGCCCTAGTAACATTCTCAATGTCAATTATTGTGCCTCCTTCGTTTGATGATCCTTATTCATATACGCAACAATCCTAAATATTGGCCTCATTTTAAGGTAATTTATGTATTTCTTTCATAATTGATTATATTATTATATTTTATTATATGTTTTATCATTATTTCATTGCTAACTTCATAACAATCTCTTTTGTAAGGTTGCATTGGTGCAATTGATGGAACGCAAATTAATGTAGTGACTCTAGTCGATCAACAACTTGCATATCGTGAACGTAAAGGAGATTGCACACAAAATGTGATCGCTGCTTGCTCATTTGATTTGAAATTCACATTTGTTTGGGCTAGATGGGAGGGATCGACTCATGATTCTCGTATACTTAACGAAGCTCTTAGTAGGCCAAATTTGAACTTTCCCAAACCTCCAAGTGGTTCGTATTATATTTTTTTTTCTTTTTTCTTTTATTATTTTGTTATGTAACCTTTTTATATATTTTTCTTTTTCTTTTTATAGGTAAATATTATGTTGTTGATGTTGGGTATGCTAACATGCCAGGATATTTAGCACCATATAAAGGAGTACGTTATCATTTAAAGAATTTCAAAGAAATCACCAACCAAGAGGAGTTAGAGAACTATTTAATTATGCTCACTCATCTCTTAGAAATATAATTGAACGTTGTTTTGGAGTTTAGAAGGCTCGATGGACAATTTTAAAACATATGGCTCCTTTTCCATTCCCAACACAAAGGTTAATTGTGATTACATCAATGGCATTACACAATTATATAAGACAAGAAGCAATAGCGGATGCCGAATTTCAACGATACGATGATGATGAAGGTTATGCCAGCGACAACGATGATATGTACACGCATGCTACTTTATCGGAATCTAGTGGAATGGTGGACCAACAACAAGAGATGGGCATTATACGTGATGGGATTGCTAATTCAATATGGTAATCAACTAGATAAATTGTTCCTTGGTCTATTTATGTCTTAGGATTGATTCTAAAATTTTAATTTATTTATTTTGAATAATTATTGTTTATTTGAAATTAGTATTTAAATTATTGATCATGTTTACTTTATATATATATAAATGGAAATTTATTGTCTTCTTTAAATAATAGTTAACATATAGATTATCCATTTTTAGTGGTAGAAGTGTTCTATCTAATTGTTCATTATAATTTTATGTTAATTAAAAAAAAAAAAATTGAATTATTAAACGTTGTTGTTGGTATGATTCAATATTTGTGTCAAATAGAATGTAGAAAAATATTATCTAAGAATATTTTTGTAAATTGTAGCTGTTTAATAACAGAAGGACTTCAGTGGACTTCGGTGACTTTGCAACCAAACACATATCGTACGAGTTGATCGTAAAAAAAATTCTCAAAAATAAGGTTAACAAAACGCCTTTTTTATTTTTAAATTCCTTACTATAAGTGATTCTTGAAAGTCCGTTATAGTGAAAGGACTTTTCACAATAGGAAATTCATCCACACACATCCTTAATATGTTTATATATTTTTGCACTGCAACAACATTAATGTAACAATAAAAAAATAATAAAGAATAAGTAATTCTTAAATAACCTTTTTAAACTAATCTTTATATATTTTAAAATTAAAACATTTTGTTATCAAATATACTTTTATATTTTAATTTAAAAAAATTCACAATAAATAGCTAAATATATTTTTTTATTACTATTCAAAACACTCGCAACAAAACCAAAGCATCACTTGTGTTCGAGATTAAAACCAAAGCATCCCATCATCATCATCATCATATACATATACACACATACATATATATATATATATATATATATATATATATATATATATTAGTTAAAAAGGTTTGTATGCATGTGGGGGATGATGGAAAATAGTACCTGTACAGCTAGCAACGACTTTGATGATTCACTTTCTTAGAATCTTATCATAATTTCTTGAGACAATAAGACAAACTTGAATGCCTTTACAGCTGACAACGACTTTGGCTTATTGTTTTTTGCCCTTTTTTTAACAACAAATTCTCTTAAATTTTGTGGTTTTAGTCGGTTTTCATTTAATTTTTTGATGGGTATGCTATTAAGAAGATCAAATGTTATGTTACCTTCCAAAAAAAAAAAAAAATCAAATGTTATGTTTAAATTTCTTTAATTTGTGAGAAACAGGTGGTTTAGTGAAAGTTGACTCAAAATATATTCAGTTCAAGAGCCCATTTATGAGTTGGTCATTAAACAAGGGGTTAGTTTTGTCCGGCGACAAATTCTGAAGGAGTTTGTTTGAAATTAAGCTTACTTTAAACTAGAATTAAAGTGGGTCTCATTTATGAGTAAGGGTTTCACGCCCCGTTGCCTTCCCTTGATTCATGTAATTTAATACGAGTAAATAACAAAAACCGACCCATCCATCTGCCCTTCTCTCTCTCATGTTCTTTATCCATGGCCCCTGCCGCCGCACCATCCTCTCCCCCACTACTGCTGGCGATCATCCCCACCACCACCACTACCACCACCGAAAGTCCATAATGGACGGCGACTTTCTTTCTCTCTTATATCTCACGTCCCCTCTCTCTCATGCCATTGCCGATACCAACCAGTGCCCGCTGTCATCAGGGTGTATTCACAGAAATGAACAGTGTTGGTGGTTTTGCGGGTGGAGATAGTGCTGGTGGTTCAGTCGGCAGAATATAATAGTTGCGTTGGTGGTCGTTGTGGTTGTGGGGGTGAGGATGTTGGTGGTGGTTATGGTGGTGGAGGTGGCGACTTTTGTGGTGGTGGCGACAACGACATCGACGATTATGGTGCTTGGTAGTGGCAGCGGTAACGCTTGTGGAGGTTATGATATTTTGAATTTTTGATGACCATTATTCCATGGATTCCGGCGAGAGAGCAAGATTAAGGCCTGTCCTCCATAGATTAGTAATTACAGTGAGAGAGGTCCTTTTTCGATGAGGAAGAGAGAGAAGATAACGGGCGTAGCTTTTCCTCAATACAGATAACGGCGTAGCAAGATTAATATCTATTGTTTTAAATGAGGTGGCAGATTTTAATGAGGTTGTCTTTGTCCAACACAATGTGGGAACAATCTTATTTTCGTTCACATCTTATATAGTATAATTATATACATATTTCTATATAAGTGAAGTGGTGGTGAGAATCAACAAAGCCCAGACAAACCTTATCCTGCCAAGTCTTCTAGAACAGCCATACTCTTGATTTTCAAGAAGTGGATGCAATAGTCTTCCAAATATATATACCACTGATCATGCAGATTGACAATCGTGATTAGAAATTATTACAAATCAATTTATAGCTATACATTCACCCAATGGAACTTTCTTGGGTTTACACTTGTCTCTGTGTTCTCCTCCTCGTTCTAGCTTTCAACTTCTTGTCAAATTCACGAAACCCACGACGAAACCTCCCGCCGAGCCCACCGGCTCTTCCAGTCATAGGTCATCTCCACCTACTGAAACCACCTCTCCACCGAACCCTACACAGCCTGTCACAAAAATACGGCCCCATCATCTCCCTTCAGTTCGGGACTCGCCCGATTGTCGTCGTGTCTTCACCGTCCGCCGTAGAGGAATGTTTCACCACCAACAACGTCGTCCTCGCCAACCGCCCGCATTTTTTGATTGGCAAGCACGTAGGCTACAACTACACCACGATGGGGGCGTCCTCCTACGGTGACCACTGGCGCAATCTCCGACGCCTCAGCGCTCTCGAGATCTTCTCAACCAGTCGACTCAACGCCTTTCTATCCATTCGAAGGGACGAAATCAAGCTTTTGTTATCGAGACTGTACAAAAACTCATCCGACGGTTTCGCTAAAGTTGAGCTGAAATCAAAGCTTTCGGAGCTGAGTTTTAATATCATGATGACGATGATTGCAGGGAAGCGGTATTTTGGGGAAGACGTGACTGAGGACGACTACGAGGAGGCGAAGCAGTTCCGGGAGCTGATAAAAGAGGTGTTCAAGTACGGTGGTGCAAATAATCCCGCAGATTTCTTGCCGGTTTTACGATGGATTGACTACAAGAACGTGGAGAAAAACATGGTGCGAATTACCAAGACGATGGATGCGTTTTTGCAAGGTCTGATTGATGAGCATCGACGCCATAAGAGTAAGGTTACCATGATCGATCACTTGCTTTCCCTACAAGAATCTCAACCAGAATACTACACGGATCAAATCATCAAAGGGCTTATAATGGTCAGTATATATATATATATATATATATATGCATGCAAATCTACAATTTAAATACTCAACCTCCTCTCTTTTGAGAAAGAGAGATATATTATAATTTATTTAATTGTGATGTGCAGATTATGTTACTCGCGGGCACGGATACATCATCAGTGACAACAGAATGGGCTATGTCCCTTCTCCTTAATCATCCTGAAATATTAAAAAAGGCAAGGGTCGAGTTGGAAACTCATGTAGGACAAGATCGGTTGATTGAAGAGTCAGATGTTTCAGAATTGAATTATCTTCACAATATCATTTTAGAAACATTTCGATTGTGCCCGGCAGCACCACTCTTACTACCACACATGTCCTCAAATGATTGTACTATTGGTGGACACAACGTGCCACGTGGCACAATATTGTTGGTCAATGCATGGGCCATTCACAGGGATGCTATGACTTGGGATGACCCTACAAGCTTTAAGCCCGAAAGGTTTGAAAGCGGAGAAGTCGAGGCACACAAGCTATTGCCATTTGGGATGGGCAGGAGGTCCTGTCCTGGTGCTGCACTCGCTCAACGTGTGGTGGGATTGACTTTGGGTTCGTTGATTCAGTGTTTTGAGTGGGAGAGAGTCAGTGAGAAGCAAGTCGATCTCACTGAAGGAAAAGGACTTACCATGCACAAAGCTGAGCCATTAGAGGGCATGTGTAAAGCACGTGACATTATAAAAAAAAAGTCATTATTCCTGAAGCAGCATGTTGATATTTAAGCAATTTTTGTTGCATGCTATAAATATTTTTTTAAGTTTGTAGTACCTTAAATATGTATTTTACTATTTCTTAGCCATTTACTTTTCGTGTTCTATGAATATATTGTTATTGTACTTGGTTTTAACAAATTAAAAAATAAAAAGAAATATATCTTGTCACTTTGTTATTAAAAAACAAGAGTAATGCATACAATTCAACCGCAAGCACTCATTCTTATTACTGAGAAAAGTCTCAAACAACTCCCAACCAAATTACATGAAAAAACTTTTATCCCCGTCACATCTTTTACTCTCTTTTCTATCTTCTCATCTTCCTCACCGTTCAATTCTTATCCATTTCACTTTTGGCATCAGCTTACACATTACCTGATATTTACTTCATCAACTGTGGGTCAGACTCAAACGTCACAATAAACAACCGGAACTTCGTTGCTGTCGGCTAAAGTATGTTGGGAATAATTAATTCTTTCTAATCAACTCAATGGTTGACTGTTATTAAGGGTTAAATTTCTTCTTCATCACACACAGCGAAAGCATCATTACATTACATCAACACAAGTATATATGGAGATAACAATTACACATATTCACACACAACGCAATATTTTACGTAGTTCACCCAACTCTAGAGTTACATCCATGGGAGAAAGAGATTTCACTATTATGAATTAAGAAAGAAAATATACAACCACATGTCAAAATCTCACTCACTCATCTTCTCTTTTGAGGCTACATGTATACACTCGAGAATTACATATATTCCCTTCTTCCCACAACGCTCACCCTTAAACTCCTTACATTTTTTCTCTCTTCTCTCTCTCCCTCTAAACTCCTCATACCCATCTTTATTTATAGAGTATTAAAACTCAATTTCTTATTGGACAAGTATTTCTCAAATTCAATACCTTATTGGACAATGATCAACTTACCACAAAAAGTTACCATATCCATCTTCAACTCTAAAATAGCAAGTATAACTTATTTTTCAAATCTTTACCCTTTTTTTCCGAGTCTTCTGGATTCCAAAACCAAGAAACTATTTCTCGTAACTTTCAAACCAAGAAACTATTTCTCGTAACTTTCAAAATTAAAAAAGAAACTAATTTTTTGTACACAAATTTTGAGCCACAAACCCAACAGAGTAGTCCTGTCAAAGCCTCCAACTCATTTACACAGACCGAGGCTCCAACTCTCTATCAATCAGCAAGACTCTTCACAAACCCATCATCTCCACATGAGCTCGACATACAGCAAAATGGAACTTACATGGTACACTTCCATTTCTATCCTTTTTCATCCCCAAAACGTAATTTATTCGATGCCCAATTCAATGTTTTGGCTTCTGGGTTTTCGATTCTATCGAATTTCACTGCCAAAATAGTAGTAATTCACGTTTGATTGAGGAATTCTTGCTCACCATCAATGGTGCCACTCTTGTCACTCCAACAACAACTAACACTTCTAATTACAATGCTTTGCTCTTTCGGGCTTTACATACAATTCATAGGATTAATGTTTAACGATACATTGTTGAGGAGTTGGGTACCTGATGATGATTATCTATTTCGGGCTTTACCTACAAATCATAACAGTGAATCTTATAGTGGCTTGATTTTGTCTACAAATGAATATATTGCTCCTGATTTAATTTATTTTTTTGCAGGAACACAACGTATATGATGAGGTATATATAGTAATTAAATAGATCCAAATGTTATATGAATTCAAACATGTTTTAGTCAATAATAATGGCTTAATAGTGATTTAAAACTAAAATTGTCATTTTTCGTCCCTTTTCCAATAATTAGCAAATGGTAAGGAAAAATTACAAATATTCTGGAAAGTTTAAGTATTTTTATTTTTTCATAAATTAGGAGTACAAAGAGGTTATCTGAATTTTTTGTTTTTTTTGTTTAGAAGTGTAGGACCCAAGTAAATATTTGAAGTGACTAATGAAAAGCAAGTGAGCTGTCCAACGGACAAGACTCGCAATCCCCCACAACTATAACTACCGACAGTCCTTGGAAACTGTGGATGCTGAATTAATGAAAAATATAACATAATTAATTGAGATTTAAAAGAGTAGTGTTATATCTCGATTTCGCTGTGTTACATATGTATACAAATTTGTAACACTACTCTTTTAAATCCAAGAACATTCTTGTAGAAATCCTATATTTGTAATTCATTAAATATATTTTTGGGCAAATTTCTCAAAATTCCTAAAACTATTAAAAAGTGATCATAAAATCTAACCAGTTTTTAAAACTCCCAACAATAAAACAACATTATCATTTTACCCCAACTCTGATAATTGGCCGTTAAAAGTATGTGAAATGACTAAATTACCTTATTATATTTCTTTTTATTTAAAAATCAAAAAATTATATTTTTAAAATTACAATATTATCCTTTCGCATAAAACGAAAGCGTTTAGTGCTAATATAATTGGACATCAAAACTCTGTCGTTTCATTCAAGGCAACAGTTGTATTGGACTTAAAATGCTATCGTTTGATTCATTGAACAAGTGTGTGTGTATGTGTGTATGTGTATTTTGTTACACCGGTATTACACAGTCTTGCCGGCATTGACCCTTTTCACCGATATGATCAGCCGACTATCCATCACTGCCTTGTACGTCGTCCCCCATCATACCCCTCTCGACCAGCTCCGCCAGCCCTCATCAGTTGCTCCAGAGTATACATCTCTACTTCGTCGCTACAGAACACCAAATATCCACTCTTTTCACGGTGTTGTTGAACACCCTGAATCTGAATCTGGGTTGTCTTCTCTTTAACTTATGATTCATTCTCTACAACAATCAATGTGTTGTTGCTTGTAGCATCAGTATTTGCATTCTCAGGACTAGACATTGTTGATTTTGACGATGACATTTGGTGTCGTCGCTTTTTTATCAACACGAAGCAACACAGAACAGCTGCGATGAGGATTAGACTTGCGATGACCAAGAATATAATCACTCCAATTCTCTTGTGTTTCTTCGGCGACAGCAGCGAGATAACCACTCCCTGTGCGTTTTGGAGAAGAGTCGTAGGCGGCGAGGCGGCGGCGCCGGAGGATGAGTTGAAGAACGAGGAAGTACTGGAACCGAATATTTTGTCGATGATCTCCCCGCAGAGGCTAGGGTTCCATGAAAACGAAGTTGTCGTGTTCATCTGTGGAAGCCATGGCCGATCTAAGAAATTACAGGTCTAGTTGTCGTGTTCATCTGTGGAAGCCATGGCCGATCATCATCTATGCTCTTACGTACTTTCTGAATGCAAGCAATCGCGTGTTTACGCGCGGTTGAATGTTTCTCAGTCTTGAAGTAACCTTGCTTGATCTTAAATTCCAATTCGACTTCGAAGAGTCTGTCAAATACTGTAACTTCATTTGGTAGAAACAATGGACGACGTGGATCGTAATCCGCCATTGTCGATCTTTCCTTTTCGTTCTTGTTCTTTGTTCAGAGCTTTTTGTGTTATAGAGAAAATGATCAACTGAATCAAAAACTGTATATGCGTATGGTGATCTAGGTCTGCTATATATAGAGGACAGACTTCAATCTCTCTCTACAAATAATTAATTTCTCCCCCTACTTCTTGAGCCAAGTCGGTTATTTGTTAGTTAGTGGACTTGTCAATTAGTTAGATAGGGATTGGCCGTTAACACAGAGCAACTAACGTCGGCGACTCTGTTTTCAAGATTTGGCCAATGTTCAAATACAAGTTAGTTGACTCGCTTCTAACTCGGTAATTCAGGCCATCCGCTGACCCGACCCAATTAGGTTCAAAAAGCAAGAGATCCAAGTTGACAAATTAATTCCTGATTTTCTTTCTCTTTCAATGGTTTATATATATATATATATATGTATATGTGTGTGTTTTGCTTTATATATGTGTATATCTATATATTGGTTTGTATATCTAAACTTCATGATTGTTGTTCAAAGTGGGTTTATGATAGTTAAGGCTCTCCGGAAGGGTGAGTGGAGATGGCCGGGAGTAGAGAGAGAATGAAAAGCAAGAGAGAGAAAATGACTAAACTTTGGGTTTTAACTATAACAAGTTTGGGGGTATTTTCGAAATAACACGTATAAATATATTTCACTTGTTTGGCACATTTTACTCCAGGGGTATTTTGGTCATAAAATTCACTTTGGCAAAGCAATTGTTAACCACGCCCTGAGTTAACAGCCCCAATTGACAGAGTTGGGGTAAAATGATAACATTGTTATATTGTTGGGGGTTTTTAAAACTGGTTGGGGTTTTATGATCATTTTTTGATAATATTGGGGGTTTTGAGAAATTTGTCCTATATTTTATAAGTTAGCTTCAATATTTAAATCAAAGCTCATTGGGCAGTAGCATGCCATCTCCTATGTTACATCTCGATTTTGCCGTGTTACATATGTATAATACAATACATATAGGTTTTAAAATTTTAATTCATAATATTTATTTTTGCACATTTTTTATTTATTTATTTTTAAATTTTTTTATCTAACTTATAAAATATACAATTTTCGTGCACCTATAGGCATTCCTAAATATTTGTAGTGATATTTTTCTCATAAAAGTATTTAATATATGTAATCTAAGTTGTAATAATGTTCTTATGATCCTTCTTTATTTGTTTTTAAAAAATTAGTTTTGCTAACACCACGTAATTATTATATAAGAAAAACTTTTACTTTATTTTTATTTTAATAATAGTACTCCTTTCGTCCCAAAATAAGTGTCATACTTTATTTTTTTATTTGTCTCAAAATAATAGTCACTTTCATTTTTTAAATAATATATTTGACATCTTTCCATATATGTCCTTTGAGTTTAAAATTTCAAATTTTAATATTCAAAACTTAAAAAGATAAGTTATTAATTTTCTAGGCAGACAATGCATGTCTTACATGTCCCTTTAAAAATTACTACTCTCCATAAACGACACTTAAATTTGGACGAAAAAAATATATATATATTTATTTTATATTTGTGAGTACCAAATAGATTTGGAAAAAGTTTAACTCAAATAAAATATCCTTGACAACTATTCATGCCGCAAAAACATAAATAAAACATTCTCCCAACCTCTCTGAAT